AAGTGAAAAAAAAAAAAAAAAAAAAAGGACAGAAGAAAATGATGCAAGCCCTTCAACGCCAAAATCTGCAATCGCCCAACTGATTGAAAACTGGAAACACAAGAAAGATCCCAAACTAGCTGCATTTTTATGAAAAAGATGGCACTGCCTGACGCACACAGCAAGAAAAACAATTCACTAACTGGCAGTTTGGGGATTGTTATCAATATAACTGCAATAACAAATTAAAGGACTCTGCATTCCCAGGTTTGAAGTCTATAAACAAGCTCGCTCACATGTCTCAGGCCTTTTCTCTCTCCGTCCTAATTTTGTGTCATTTGTTGCTGTCTTGTATCCAGCAAAGAAGAAAAATACTTCCAATATTAAAATGTTAAACAGAAACAAAAAACCCCTTGAAGCCTCTCTTATTTGACCATTCTGCGGTCACAGGAGTAGAGGGTTTGCAGATGCATCACAAATCTGTTAGCTGCTTCCTCTGGTTTAGTTTTATTTTGTTTATCCTTCAAAAAATAATGGTTTTACCAGATGGTACTTTCTTTTATTTCTGTTTGACAGTTGGCCTAACCTCAGTGCTGCTGGATGAGCTCGATGTGCTCCAAAGCTGTTCTCTGCATCTTTGTACAAGACAACGACACATATTTTCACGGGGGTGTGTTTCAGATCTATTGCTGTTTACTATTAAAGTCGCTGATATAGGAAATAAAGCCTTTTTCTACTGCTGAAATCACTTTAGGTAGCCCTGGATTAGGCATACTCTTATTAACATTTTATCCAGTGTTCACTTTTAAAATCATTTCAGATTTCAGATTCATTTAGATTCGGCTTTAAACAAATTCAAGTTACAGAAGTTTTAAAAAATTATTATATTACGGCTAGAAATTAAAGATTGACATTCAGAGAGCTGAACTCAAGTTTTGGTTCCCAAAAAAAGAAAATAAGAGATAAAAGAGTTGATAAAGGATCCAATAGGACGTTGTTGGAACTATAACCCTATTCTGCAAATCAAGCAAATCCAGTTCCGGTTTGCATTTAAGAATATTTTTAGCATATATAATAAATACTTTATGGGCACATTGGAGACAGGATAGAGAAGAGTGACAGATAGAGGGGAAGGTATAATATGGATATGAGCTGGAGTCACACCAGCAACGTTGAGAGTACATAGTATGTGTGTTTTCCCATTGAGGCAGCGGGGCGGCCGCAGGAAGTTTGGATCTGTGGTTTGTTTTTATCAAACCACAGTGAAGCTGGAAGGAACTCAGCTGCTGGGAAATGACCAAAAACAGAATTGGAGAAGAGGAGTGGTTTGGGGTGGTGCAGGTTGAATTATTAAAAGGAAGGCAGATGGACAGCTGTGACTGTTTACTAAACACTCTGCTAACAAACATCACAGTTGCACGGCTAACAGTCTATCATTTGTACTATCTTATATCATGCTAAAAGTGTAAAATACACAATCACATATTCTGATTAAATCTGATCTTAAAAGATGTTAGCTCATGCCCCATTAGCATTTTAACAAACTAACTTTTTACAAATATGTAACATTTATTGTTAGCTTTTTTCTTCACTAAAAATGACTTAAAATCTCTGTTGGTAGCAGTTTTGTTTACATGTTAACATTTATCATCTAATATTTGGAATGTAATCTAATTAGCATGTGATTAATTAGCATTTTTACATGCTAATAATTGGGTTAAAACGTTTAGAATGCTTCTCATTAACATGGATACGTTAGCATTTTAACATGCTAATGTTTAGGGTGTAACATTTTCAATGTTAGTTCATTAATGCAGAGTTAGCATGTGGCACGCTATAGTTTCAGGTGTAATGATTAGAATGTTAGCTCGATCTCTTTGCATGTTAACGATTTGACTTTTAGCACATCCTCCCATGGCTGTTGCGTTTTTTAAATTGACATTTAAGACTAAGAATAACTCATTGGCTCAATCTATGAGTTGAATTCGCCAAAAACAATGACGTTAATCCATAAGAAATATAACAGGTGTCATTTGGTGGGCAAATTTATGAAAAGCATATTACGTAACCATGTTTTTGTGCAACTCAGAAAAGGATTCATTAAAGTATTATCAATACTGTCACACTAAGATACCCTTCTCTTGTCTTCTATAACATTACCTTTAATGCAAGATGACAATACAGGGAATCAAATGTTACAAATAAAGTTGTTACAGTAGCTACACAAGTAAGATGAATGACTTTCTCTTCAAAAACAAAGTAGGTTATAAAGACAATCCCCATGCCTGTCCAATCAGAGACACTAACTAACCTTTGACCTCTATAGCTATTCTTAGCAGACCTCATATTGTCGCCCTCCGATTCACATGCAGATTGGCTCCACCGCTATCACACAATGGAGGGTCAAACATGTATCAGCTAACCACTACCACACAATACAAGTCAGCAGGGAGGGTTAATGACTGTGGACCTGGCGGCTCGATTCCTAGTTCAAACTACAAAAGGCGGTTTTACTTGTGTTTTTATAAGATATTGCAGTATAATAGGTGTGATAGAAGCGGGGCCATTGTGTGGGTTATCTGCAGTGTAATATTTTGTCTGGTAATCAGCGAATATTACAGCACTATTGTTGATGTGACTGGCCAACTCTGACTGATGATTGTGTTTTTAAGACTACTATTTTTAGCCATTTAGCCAAGTACATGCCGAAAAATTGTATACTCACTCTTGGATACTGAGGGAAAAGAAACAAGGTTGATTTAATTAAAAATAAACTCTTCTAACAAAATATTTTCAACAAAATTAAAGCAAAACAAATTTGTTTGGATCTGAATCAGTGAACTTGAGCAGATAAAACAAACTGAAACTGTTTGAAGTGCCTGTTTTTGGATGTTGGAAACGAGGCGAAGCTTCATTTATTATTTCAGTTTGACGGACATTTGTCAGAGGGCACATTTGAAATGCAGCAGCACAGTGAAAACAAATAAAAATTTATTTCACTTCTACTTGAGTCTTAATGGAAACGCTTCACTTGTACGACTTCCTAATTGACAGTTCGCCAGTTGTTTCCTCCACTTTATCAGTAATTTATCAAAAAAACTGAAATACAAAGAAGTTATAAAACAGGGCATTGCATTATCTGACTTTGATGAATGTGTGTATTCATGGTGGTTTTGTCTACAGTAGAGCACAAGGGTGGACACACACACACAGACACAGACACACACACACACACACTCTCTCTCACACAGAGGGGTACAAAGGTAGTTTTTGTTCCCCTTGTCGCTGGAACTTCAGCTTTGCTTGGTCATCATGGATAAATGCCCCTCTTATCGAGCACAACGGGCACAGACAGAGCCACAAAGACACACACACACACACACACACACACACACACACACACACTATGTAAAGTTGTGTAGTGCTACAGTAGAGAGTTACCCTTCAACATGATCTATAATACCTATTGAATTGGAAAAAGAAGCAAATAATCTCGTCAATATTCAAGTTAAAAGTCAGTTTGTTTCTTCCATTTTTGATTTGAGGGAAAAATGTGTGTGTGTGTGTGTGTGTTAGTGTGTGTGTGTGTATCTTTGTCTTCATCATCTGTGGCAGCTGCCTGCACTGATAGTTGCTTTGTTTTCAGTGAGTGCTCCTTAATGAGGTCAAAGGCTATTTAGGGCCACTGGACGCTGACGAGGAGAAACAAGAGGTACCTTCATCACGGTCACGATGCACGCGCGCGCAACCACACGCACACACACACACGCACGCACACACACACACAAACACACACACACACACACACACACAGCTATTCATTACATTTGACCAAGACAAGGTCCAAAAATCAGTCGCTGGAGAAAGAGACTCTTTGTGTTTGTGTGAATATAGGAGCAAGAAAGACAGATGGGTCTACTGATTTCTATTTGGAGAGAGGATGAGTCTATTTGATTTGCCAGTCACATGGTCACATGTCCTTTCTATCACAAACATAAATTACTGGGCCAGTTTCCCTCCTTGCTAAATTAAATCCAATAGGTGTTTTGCTTAAATCCACGCTGTGACCTGATTACGATGAATAACCAGATTAAGTTCCAGTGAAAGCTGTTTACATGGTTCACAATCATCCGATTCTTGCGTTAACCCAGGGGTCGAAATGTTGTGTTTGATAATCCTGTTAAAGTGATAGTTTGGGTCATTTGATGTGGGGTTAGGTGAGGTAGTTATCCATGGTCAGAGTGTTACCTGCAGTAGACTTACATCAGCGCGCTGCCCGTTTGGAGAAGCAGCAGGAGCATCGGTACAGAAGCTGAGTGATGTGCTGCTGTGTTTTAGGCTTCGTCCGCACTACTACGTTTCTCTCTTTTGCTACGTTTTCGCTTCCCGTCCACACGACTCCGGAGTTTTCGAGCACCGAAAACAACTTTTATGTGGATGGGTGTAATTATGTAGGTTTTCTGGTGCGAACACAAAAGTAACCAGACGTCACTGTGTTCTAACTCCAGCTCCACACTTAAAGCACAGACATGAACTTTATATCAATCTTCTCATCTTACTCCCGGAAAAACAATTAAACACATTTCCCCAAAAGGTTTAACTGTTCCTTTAATGTGTGGTTGTAAAAAATGTAATAATCCTCTCCCTCTCCTTTAATAGCGCCATATATGGTCAATGAAAATTCACCTTGCTGGCAGATAAGACGCAGAGAGAGGAGCCTGTGTTAGACGAGGCCGACAGAGAGGAATTGTCAACACTACTACCCTTCTCTCTCCACATACACACAGTCTGACTCACCTGGAGACAAACCCCTTTATTGAGAAGCAGGCGGCCATCTTTGATTAGTCGGGGTGACTCAGCACACAGCGAACACAAGGGGGTGTGTTTGTGTTTTTATGTGTGTGTGGCTTCTTTTTGTGTGACAGTGCGATGAATGAGCACATTTGTGCCCATGTGGGAATATGTAAATGTGTGTGTGACTATGGCCGTCGCAGTGGGAGAGTGTGTGTGTGTTGTCATACCTCGTGGTCTGGTATCTCAGAGGAAAGAGTCTTTCCCAGCACCGCCGCCGTCAGGTAAGTCCAACAGCGAGCCGTATTAGCCAGATTATAACACCCTGGTGAGAGAGAGAGAGAGAGAGAGAGAGAGAGGGAGAGAAGTTAAGACGAGATGCATTATCATTATGTGGTTACATGCTGCATATATTATGTTGGACATGAAGGTCCATGAAATCCAAACCTCCCAAAGTTCATCTGACCACGACTAAATTCCGCTAAAGGTCTCAAGTGCCAAAAGTTTATTTTAAATTATAATGTGTGGAACTGTTATACGGTCACGTAGAAGTCAAGTTAAGATAAAGACGTGAACTGAAAAAGAGGAATACAAGGTGAAAAGAGCTGAAATAAAGGGACAAAAAGCTAACAAAATAAAAGTTAGAAAAGTTATCATCTCTCTCTCTCTCACACAAAAATACGAACAGAGAGAGAGAAGCGTGAGGGAGGAAGAGGACGGACTTGAGTGATATCAAGAGAACGACAAGAACCAAGACAGAGAGGAGGATGTAACGAAGAGAAAGTATGTAGGACAGAGAGAGAGAGGGCGAGAGAGAAAGGAAGAGAGGTGGGATTGTAGTTGAGTAAAATGGCTTCATTGTGTCGTATAATTAGTAGCTATCATCTGGCCAAGGGCTGAGGGGTCTGGAACAGAGCACGGTGTGTGTGCCTGAGTGTGTGTGAGAGTGCGTGTGCGTGTGTGTGTGTGTGTGTGTGTGTGTGTGTGTGTGTGTGTGTGGACTGTATGTGTGTGTCTGTAATTGTGCACAAGTGAGTAAATCACTGAGATTCAAAGCAAATGCAAACACATACAAAAGATGTGGAACATTGTCTACCTTTTCCTCTGCAGTATTTTAATACACCAAGTACACGTGCACATACGCACATAATTAGCACATGCATACACACTAACACATGGACTTACATCTGTGCATTCATGCACAAAAAAATAAACAAAACATCAGCTAGAATAATAAACACACACACATGGCGTACCTCCTCCCAGCAGCAGTGTAGGTAGCTGCCACTGCAGGACATACTGCAGACACTTGGCCACCCCCACCGGGGTCATGTTGAAAGAGCACATGGGGTCGCCCGCCATCGTGTCGGCACCCAGCTGCATCACCACCGCCTCCGGGTTAAACTGCGCCCGCACTTCCTGCATCACACTGCAAGACAAGACAGCAGGTAAGCGCTGAGGCTGTCAGCCACTGATGATACATGCTGCACCAATCAGGAGTCAGTATGTTTGAACACAGAATAACAGCATTCAGCAGTAGTAGCATCACACTATTAAGATTTATCAACATCTGTCCAGCTGTTACTTCTGTTCTACACAGGAATCTACTGTCAATATTCAGCTCAACCAATCGGACGTGGCGTAACACTCGTTTGCAGTCTGTTCCACCAATCAGAAGTCACCAGTCAGAAATGATTTATGAACTGGAGAATCATTCTCATCTCTTCTATCAGTGGTTAATTACTGCTTAAGAGTCATAAACTGCAGTTCCAGTAATAGCCACTAGTTGGTGAGTCAAAGAAATCCATATGTCCATGATTTCCACCTTTTGCAACCAAAACTAATGTGTATGTTGTGGAGTGTTCAGTCTGACGGAAAATCCCTCAAGTGGAAAACCCTAAGTTTAAAACCTCGCGTAGGAGGGAATTCCCTGCTGAAGTGTCCTTGAGCAAAACCCTGAAACAGCACCAGCTCCAAGATGAGTGCTCTGAAACTGACCCTGACCTTTGACCTCAAGGGAGGGGGGGGGGGCATTCAGGGGAGGAGAGGAAAAACAGAATTTCTCCACAGGGATCCTTGAGGAAAACATTTCTTAAAAGTTGCCCTTGAGCTGCACAGGGAATTCCAGATATTTCACAGTGTGTGTGTGTGTGTGTGTGTGTGTGTGTGTGTGTGTGTGTGTATATATATACCTGGTAAAAATCTGGTAGTATCTGTCATCCTTGATGCCGTCCTCCAGCGGGACATTCACGGCGTACCAACGACCTTTACCCAGCCCTGTGTCACACAGGTCACCCGTACCTAAATATACACACAGTTACACACACATCTTACACAGCATCTTATCACAATACAGGTTAAACATGTTGTATCTTAAACATCTGCAAGGGCTGACCTGGGAAGAATCCAGGGGAGAACTTGTGCAGAGAGACGGTCATAACTTTGGATGTGAAGCTGAAGGCATCTTCCACACCTGCAGAGAGGAGGAGGAGAAAAACACCATCATGTTATAATGAATCAAAACAGAAAAATGTGTGATGATGTTGTTTTTGAAACACGTACACCCTCTGCACGTTTTCAGACACTCGTAATAATAAATAGAAAAGAAGCTTATTTCTGCGTGTACCGTCTCCATGATGCAGGTCGACGTCCACGTAGAGGACGCGCTCATATTTCTCTCTCAGTTTGAGGATTCCCAGCACAGCGTCGTTCACGTAACAGAAACCTGACGCCTCATCCCTGGAGGAGAAACAGAGAAAAGTATGTATGTATATATATATATATATATATATGATTTTCTTTGGCTTAATAAAGCATATTTGAAAATAAATTACTATAGCAACGCTGTTAGAAATGTGTGTGTGTGCTCTAATGCATAGAGTGGGTTTAGAATATATCTATGACTTGTCTTACTTCTTAGCGTGGTGCCAACCTCCTGCCCAGTTGATGGCCACTTCACACTTTTGGTCCTGCAGACACTGGGCTGCGGTCAGTGTGGCGCCCCCGACTGCTGCTGCATAGTCAAATATCCCCTCCACCACTGGGCAGTCGTAACCTGGAAGAAAATGTTACAAAATATCAAAAATAACAACAAAAGTCTGTTTTTATTGAGCAGAGAGGCCGTTCTTTTAGTTACACTGACGTTAAAAAGGCGTATATATACTAAAGAGTGATATATGCTGTCGATACGGGCAGTAAAAGTTCATTTAATCTTTTATTTCCACATTTGAACATTTCCTAACACACACACTTAAACAGGAACATCAATCACGTCATCAACAAAACTCCAGAGGAAAATCTATTTGTTCCTTCTCAATTTTCTGTGAAACACTTTCCTTGCCTTTGATGGAAACTTTTATTTTGTTTCTGCACAGTCAGCGCTTCTCAAGGCTGATTCATGGAGGTTAAAAAAAAGTGATAGAAGAAGAATGGGAAACGAGACAAAGGAAGAGAAGGGTAACAGAGAAAAGGGGGAAAGGGAGGAAGACAGAGATGAGGGAGGCGAGTGGATGTGATCAATAGAGAACAAAAGAGTGTGGCGTCAGATAAACTGAGGAAAGGCTGGAGAGACACACAGAGAGAGAGAGACAGAGAGAGAGAGAGAGAGAGAGAGAGAGAGAGAGAGAGAGAGAGAAAGTCCTCAATCCAGGAAAAGGTGGAGCATTTTCCTTTTTTTTTAACGAGACAGAGGGATGGAGCAGAGAGAGCGAGGGAGGTGTGCAGAATACAAAAGGAGGAAGAGGACAGGATGAGGAATGAGTCGAGGAGACAAAGAAGAGCAAGGGTGAAGGAAAGGAGGGAGCGATGGGGAATGAGTCAGAGAAACAAAAAACCACTTGAGGATCACTCTAAAGTTAGAAATGTGAACCTTGGAGAGGCGTGGACTGACACCCAAGACCAACGGACCACAGTGTAGGTTCAGTTAGGATGAGGCCACTCTGGGTTAAAATATCACATATTTTATAAAATGCATTGCTGTCTGTGAAACGTACACCAAATTTACATACAGATAATATTTTAAATTGATGTTCTGTTTTCTTTAATGTAGTGTTACGCTGCCCTCTGCTGCCAACAAACACACACTGCATATGAATCCTATTTCTACTTCCCCCTCCTTCTGTCCACTTTCATCCCTCCAATCGCTTTGTATGCCTCATTTATTTAATCTAATCTACAACGAACACCTGTTTTACACCAAATTACAGTAAAAGATATATTTAAAGAATAAGAGGAATCACACAACACTATACCGAGACACTGAACCTGAATGTCCGCCTCTAAAATTACGGTAAAGCACTTGTAAGTGTTTCTCTAGTCATTTAAATTTAGATGACTGAACACATAATTTACAAACGACTGCTGAAAACCTATTTATTTCATTTGGCTGAATTGATTTTCACATATTTTACTATTCTTACTGGTTTCTCTTTTTAATATCATTTACATATTTTATCATTTACTGTCTTTTTATTGTCTGATTTCATTGTCCTTCTATTCGCTCGTTTTATTGTACTATTCCATTTTTTTTTAATTGTAAAGCAATTTCAGCTACATCTCTTGTATGAAAAGTGCTCTATAAATAAAGTTTATTATCATTATTATTATTATTTATTCAGAAAATAAATGGCTAGGTCGGTAGATTTTTAATTAATAGATTCCAACTTCCAATAGAAGTTATTGTGGCAAGTATAAGTTATATCTTGGCATCTCTCACCCAGGCCATAGTCGACTGACTGGGGGTCGTCGTTGTCTCCGTCCTGGCTGATTTTATGAAGATGCTCCAGGTAGGAATCAGTGTGGAACTTGGCCATCTCCTCTATGGTGGCTGCACGAGGCTTCACAACGCTGAAAAAAGAGACAACATTAATGTCACATGCTGCTTCTGCGATAACTTGTTGTATACACAGTGGCAGATAAAACTCGACCTTCTGACTGGTTTATTCACTGAGCGGTCAAATTAAATACTGTGTGTGAATAAGGCCGCAGGTGATTCATGGGAGTCTTTGACCTGGTGACGCTTTTAGTCACTTGTAGATCAGAGACGACCGAGGCAACAGCAGAAAGCTGCAGAAAATATTGACACAACACAGCTGGGTGGTAAAAGAAAATAACAACTGCACAGAAACTGCTGTGCCAATATAAAATAAATCAACAGTATAAGTACTACATTGATAGCGGGAGTGGAACTGAATGGGATATGGAGGGAAGAAAAATGCCCCCCCCCCATCATCCTCTTTTTTGACGAGTCAAAAGAAATAAAGTGGCACGAGCTGAATGTTCAGATTCTTGGCTTGAAAAAAGACTGAAACTGTCGTGGAAATTATGTTTTTTCCCTTGAGGAGAAATGAACGAATAAATGATAACAAGCAATTGTCTTTTTGTATTTTTAATTAAGTGATAGTGAAAATAATAGAGCATGACAAAGTCAATCTATTTCAGCTGAAAGGACAGAGCTCATACACCAGAGTGTATTTGGTGAGTCTGACAAAGGAGTACAGATACATATTTATAGTTAGATCATAGCGTAGGGAGGCAAGAGAGGCACATAGGCTGACCTTGAGCTCAGCCACCTCATCTTTGTTAAGTGTGATGAGAATGAAGTTTCTCCTCATTTCCCACACAACAAATAAAGTTTTGTAGTTGTAAATTGATTAAATTGATGCCACTACTGTACTCCAGGTCAGCTGAAAGCTTACACACAAAAGAAAACAGCAGAATACTCTTTCAACCACAGGATATTACATGTCTATATATGGTAATGATAAATTTTGCTCCTACAGAAGAAGAAAGTTTAGATAGATAGATAGATAGATAGATACTTTATTTATCCCCTCGGGGAAATTCATTAACATGCTTCAACCTCAACAGACATCTCAGCTCCTTTCAGTTAACACGTTAGAGCTGCTCAAACGAATCTGAATCTGAATAATCTGAAGCTATTTTTGATCAGTTGCTCCAGCTTTTCAAATGTGAAAATTTTGAAAATCTTGGTCTTACCTTTTAGCAAATTTGGGCTGTTGGTTGAAGAAAACAAGACATTTAATAATGTCATCTGTTGCCTTAAGTTATTGTGACGGGCTTTTATCTCTGTTTTCTGATGTTTTTAAATCAAGTGAATTAGAGAGTAATCTGCAAATTAATCCTTAGTGGAAGCCTCAAATATATTGCAAGATTTTTAAATTACACTTTTGTATTACATCTGATATATAGCAGATTAATCTGACCTTTAAAGTTTTGTGGGGCTAGTTTTGGGAGGCTTCTGCTGCAACACTGCAATCTAAGAGAAGTTCTCCACCCATACATCCACCCATAAGGCAGCACACTTAAATTTTCCTCAGAAAAAAAAACCTTTTTCTAGTTTAAATCTGCTTTATGAAAGAGAAATTCTTGACTCCGGTTTACTGAAGTAAGCAGTAAGTAGTCTTCGTGAAACATCGGCTACCTCTGGCAGGAGCAAGCCAAACAACCTGTTTCTGTACCGCATGTGAAGCTCTATTGCCATCTGATAAAAACATTTTTTTTTTTAAGTATTTTAATCTCGCTTTTAGCACCATTTGCGTGAGAAAACACAAACACCAGCAACTACTCACCTCATATGTTCGAGCAGCCCGTAGGCTTCTATCAGTGAGTGGACCATACTCGCCTAGAAATGGCAAAATAAAATAAAAACCACTTGTTATAAACCTCTCTAAACAGATGAGGCACACATATAAACTGGTAACTAGCTTCAATAACCCTCCTCGTTCAATACAACTCACCCGGTTTGGCACTTTGGATAAAGTGTCGCAAGTCTCGATGTACTCCGGACTGTAAACGTACGCGACTCTCCGTGTACCACAGCTGTCTTCATCGCTGTCTCCTCTGCGACTCATTGACGGCGGAGAAAACCTAAATTATTTGAAACTGAAGCTAAAAACAAATTCACAGTGAAGCGATGCGAGCGGCGTCCTGTTCTCTCTTCTGGTGTTACACCGTCAACATTCCCCCCAGCCCGGTAAAGTCGGTTCAATTGTTGGACTTCGCCGCTCGGTTAGAGGGAAGATAAAGACAATAAAATGTGAAATTGTATAAACTGTAGAGGGACTATTTTTATCTACCTTTAAACAGGAACACTTGGGTTATTTTAATAACGGGTAAAATGGAAAGCTACTGCTAACGGTCACACGAAATCAAATCCAACGTTCCGGTGCACGGACGTTTTTTACGCACGGAGCGTGAAGCGAGAAGCATTCTGGGACTTTTTTGTAGTCTTCTCTGTCAAGTAGCCAAAGGGCTACCTGGAGTAAGTGTTAGTTATAAAATAAAATATGTTTCTTTTACCATTTTTCATTGAACATATCCAGTAAAACAAATAATGAAGATGTGTAGACTCCATATTGAATATTGTAATTTTTGTTGATAAAAAAAAGGAAACGGCCATCTTATTTACACAACAATGTTTATTTTATGGCAAACACCGAGAAAACAGTTGACATTTTTGTTTTGAGGCCAAGACGGACAAGGGCTTTATTTTCTTTGTACAGCTGATGTTATTATTATTCATAAGAAGATGTGGACTGACTCTATTGACACTTTTGTCAATATCTACTTCTAATATCTAAACAAGACGGTTATAAAAACAAGTAGTATTTTAGTAAAATGTGGTATGGATGCATAGTATATTGCATTAAAAAGATTTTTGACATTTAGATTTTTATTTTTGGCCGTCAGTGTTGCCATGACAAGCTATAACTGAACTCAATAAACAGGCTCAATCGGTATCACAGAGGTAGATCTTTTTGTAAGTAAGTAAAGTAAAATTTGATAACAGCTGTTCTATCGCTATGTCCAATGCCACCAAACTCCATTGACAAAAACAGTCAGCAACCACCGTGTTCTACGAGATATAATTACTGTTTTCGTCAATGAAGTCTGGTTGGTTTTTAAGAAGGAGACGTCGTGTAACATTAATTACAAAACTATGTGACTGTGTAAAATTCAACATAAAAAAAACAAAATTACATAAATGACGAAAATAGATAAAACAATAATAACGCTAAGAGTTAAAAGTCACACGAACGGACGAACGTTTGATCCTGTGACGTCATGTATTCCTGGTCAGAATCTGACGCCAGAATCTAGATGACGCATCAATTTGGCTTTGGTCATGTGCTGCCTTATCAAAGACACTTGTGTGTGAAGTTTCCCGTGCAGGTTGAGGAAGAGCCAACTAGAAACCTCATTTTGTATCTTGATCCATTGAAGAACCAGATTCAAGAGCCAGAAAATACTGTAAGATGGTGGACACTGAACCGGATGCTCCTGTTTTTGGGGCTGCTGACCCTAACCCTGAACTCCACAAGTGTCCCGGTTTCCTTTCTAAGGGCGATGGTCCTGATGTATTAGTGGAAACCGTCAACGACTCTGGCTTGGACTGCATGGCACTGGCGGCTGCTCTGGAGGAACCCTCATACTGGGACACCAAAGTGTGGGCGGGGGCCTCCCTTCCGGATGTGGAGGAGCCTATGACAACATATAGTCTCAGTGCATTAACTTGTTTCCCAAGCCGTGTAATACGCATTCATGTCAAGCCAAAGGCCGAAAGTTTTGATCCAGAGAATGATGACGCTGAACAAAGCTCTACAGACATTACCGAATCATTAAAGAAAAACACACAGTCTGATTATTCCACCTCTAGCTGTGAAGCCACAACCAAGTCAGACAAAGACACAGAAGAGTCAAGAATCCCGGAAGAGGAAATCGAATCTATAGATACCACCATGACACCATCAGAAAACAGCACAGACTCTATCGATTCATCGACCTCTAGTTGTGAAACAACAGCCGAGTCAGACAAAGACACAGAAGAGTCAAGAATCCCGGAAGAGGAAATCGAATCTATAGATATCACTATAAAATCGTCAGAGAACACCACAGATTCCAGTGATTCCTCCACCTCTAGTTGCGAGACCACAGCCAAGAAAGACCACGAAACCTGGGTAGGTGTCACCATGCTGACGGTGAGACTGCTCACCAAGTGTCGCGCTCTGGATGTCTGGTCAAGGCAGGGTTTGGTCACCTACACCGACCATCTGGTGGGCCGAACACTGCAGGGACTCACTTTGAATGAAAGTTTCTGCCCGAACTATAAGGAAAGCAAGCAGGTCTGCAAGGCTGTGATCAAAGACCTGGCGAAGACGCTTGGCAGTGTGCACACACTGGAGAGCACAATATTATTAGGGTTTCCATGTGTAGAGAATACCATCATTGAATGTTTGCAAGCCCATATCATGGAGTACTCTATGTCTGCACACAAGAAGAAGAAAGGTGGATGGAGAAAGCGCATCTGGCCCATCTTGTATGCTGTTGCTGTTTGTACCATTTGGACCATCTTGTTTTTAATCGTGGTATAAACTTCTGAGGGTGGCACGATGGTGCACTGTCACATCACTGGTGCTGTCAATGGGATAGGCTAATGCTGGTTAACAGCATTGGCCTCTCAAAGGTTTATACAGTCCTTGTTGATGAGGCCAGGGCCACCAACAAACCAGTTTCTCCCTGTGTCTGCGTGGGTTTTCTCCGGGTGCTGCGGTTTCCTCCCACACTCATAATTTGGACAATAAAAATGTTCAATCATACTTTTTGATTTCTGAATGAACTTCTTAAACTAGATGTATTAAGGCTGATAAGAGGACACCTGACATATCATAGTATGACATGACATAATAACATTTTCTAGTATTTTTTTTTCAATCGATTAAATTAATCAATTTCTCATTTCAGCTCTACTTGTAGCATAATATTTTATAATCTCTTTGTATTTGTTTGTATGCAAAATATTAATTTGTACATAAACTGGAGACTAAAGCTGCCAAATGATAGTAGTGGAGTAAAAAGTGCAATATTTCCCTCTGCATGGGAGAATCCATGCTTTTCGCTAGAGGGTGCCAAAAACAGCTGACATATTTCCAGCCACTGAGACAAAATGCCAAATATAAAATGTCATTATTTTACTTATCATTGACCACACTCAATGCTAAACCATGCTGCTGGAGCATGAACTGATAAAACAGTAGCTAATCTGTTTTACGTGTTGGTCTACGACTGTTTTCCGTTGTTTTAGTCTCAGTTTGCTTCCTGATTGCATGTGACAGCATCGGTTGTTCAGACTTTTCTGCAAAATATTTGTTTTTCTTTAATTTTGAAATATATGTCAATGTGGATTCATTACTTTCACCCTTAACTAAAATTCTGCCATTGCTCTGCCATACTGTACAAACTCCATACAAGTTACACTGTAGTGCCAAGTTATTGTCAATGAAGAATAGCATTTCCGGTTTCGAAATTCAAAATAAAAAAGCTCTTACCAGACAAGTACAAAATACTGCATGGGGGGAAAATATGTTTATAATAATGAACGTGAAAACCTCTTACCTTTTTTATTTCTAATATTTCTGATACACCTGAAATCAAGTGCTGTATCATTTTAAATGGGCGGAGAATAATCAACACTCATTTAGTTTAAGAAACATTTTATATATTATATATTTATATATATTTGGAGATGTAAGGATTGTGTAATATTTTCACACAATTAGACCTAATTGCACTACTTCCCTTTACATCACTGCAATCCATCAAAAACTGTCTGTCTTACATGCTCATCTTTACACTCTAGCATAGAAATACACACTGGCAACAGCTACACCGTAAATATAATATTTGCATTGGATATTATGATAATTATTATCATTATAACACATATATATATATACATTAGCAGGTATGGTGTTATTTTTGTTTATTTTTAGGCAGTTGCAGACATTCATTTATGAAGTATGTGTTTCTTGTATGAGGGGATATTCAGTATTATGTATCCTCATCAGTTAAATCGCAAAATGAGACAAAAAGAAGTTGGAAAGAAATATTAGTATCCGCAATTTAAAGCCTGTTATGCGTAACTTTGAATAATATAAACTGCAAACCAATTGCTTTTATTTTGAAGGCAACCTCTCCACACTTCCTGTTCTGCGCCCGTTACCTCTGACTAGCTTACCGCAGCTTCAGGTTACAACACTTGCTGGAGCTTTGGTTGCCGCCGTAAAGCTGCTTTCATGACACCCGGGCAGCTGCTTCTCTGGTCGCCCTGAAAGTTGTCTTCCTCTCCGGTGGTTTCTGGACTTCTGAGAGGCGCCGAAGAAGATATGACCTTAATGTCGAGGATTTAACGAGTTTGTGTTGTTGAACCGAACTGAACCGTTGACTTGTCACCATGAGAAGCAGGAGCAACTCGGGCGTTAAACTGGACAACTATGCCCGGATGGTACAACAAACTATCCTGAAACACCAAGTAAGTGTTTAATTCTTCTTTTCACACCTTTTTTTTTTTTTACTGAACTTAACCGTTAAATAAAGGCAGTCTTTAAACGGAAACAGCGGCTTCTTCGTTAGTGCAGGCGGTTTATGTTAGCTAGTTCCAGTGAGAGCCAATATTCATGTGTTTTCATGCATGTGGGAGGTGAAGTAAACTGATATTTCGCAAAACAACAGTGCTCTTTCAAACACACCCGTTGCTTGTGTGTGTGTGATCACTGTTAAGTGTGTGTTTGAAGTCGATATAATGAAGCTATGGAGTTGTGTTTAGTTGTTTTTAAGATGTTTTCCTGCATGTATGTGCTTATTAAACATTGCATTGGACACTTATGGGTTATATGCTCTTCTGGGAAGGATTTCCACAAGATTTTGGTACCTGGCAGCAGTGATTTGCCCCCCCCCCCGTTCTGGGCTCTGGGCCAGCCAGTATAGTCCCTCCACACCAAACTGGGAGAACGGGCTGGTTGCACAAAACACCTTAAGTTAGGATTTTCCTTAAAGTATGAGTTAAGGTTTCCTTAAAATAAAACAGTTGCACAAAACACCCTTAATTTTCAGTTTTAAGGGTTCCTTAAAATGCTCAACTTTTTTCGTCTCTTGTTCCTCCTGTAGTAGTTGTGTTTTGGGTTTTCCATCGTTGTGAAGATGGTGACACAGTTCTGCGAAAACTAGATGAAAGTCGAGATAAGCTGAAAGTGGACAAACGTGGTATGAAGTCACCTTTGAATCTGTCCCAAATGGCTACCAGCCACCCTGCAGTTGTATACAGCTCACTGCTCAGATGGATCAGTGCACTAATGACCAAATCTGGTCACTGAGTGCGTTTAGATGCACACTAGTATCCTGGTTATGGTTGGGTTTTTTGGAGTATTTTGGTTATGACTTGTGCATGTAAGCAGGAGGTCTTATCCCGGATCCAGAAACCTGGACAAGACCTTATCCCAGTTTTGACAAATCTGGACACGATCAGAAACCTGGATACTGTTATAATCATGTATACAACCAGGTTTTTTATGTTCCATGTAAACAGCCAATCCAGAACATAGTCAAAAACTGGAGACTAATGCACATGTAAACACACTCACTGAGAGCAAAGACTTCCTGCAGCTGCAAGCCAAGAGTCATCAATAATACATTTAATTAAGAATGATAAATACATTGGTAGTAAAGCTGTTTATTCTTGCTAATCCGGTGATTTGTAGCCTTTCAAACATCTCTTCCATTGGTAAAATAGTTCAACACAAGCTACTCTGAACCCTGTTTCACTCAGTTTAATGAAGACTCAAAGGCATTCTCTCTGTGTATTTGTGCAATTATACCCAGAAGCCACTTTGTGTGACATTTCTCTCTGTTAGTGATGAAACTCAACTTGATGTTGAAACAATTGTCTGCTTTAGCGTCTCAGCTAGCTGCAATAAAATGTATGATTTATAACTTAAACATTAGGGAAAATGAATATTGAGTGGTTCTTCATTTCCAACAGCAATTGCAGAATTGCCTCGGCTCTAACAGTATATTTTTGTTGTTATAAAGAGCTATTGTCAGACAAGTAGCAACATCCTTTTTGCAACTGGAAGCAATGGGGCTTATGGGAAATGTAGTTCTATCTGACCTGATGTGAAATGAGAAGATACAACTGTCACAAACTCCAGGAGAGTTAGCTTCTTTCTTATTTGCCAATTTTTACCAAACAAGAAAAATTACCAAGTAAAACAAGTGGATGATATACAAAAAAAAACAATTTTAGTATTTCTTTAACCTTTTAAGTCACTTTTTAAAACAAAAATTTGCTGATTTTCTTGTGAGGGGCATTTTTCTCTATTTTCTTATATTTTACAGACAAAGAAATTAATTGAAAGAACAATCAACAGATTAAACATGAATGGAAATGATATTATATAGAGACAAATGGCAGAGAAAATGAATTATAGAAATATCAGTTCTTGCCCTACAAATGGTTTTCTTGTGATCCCATTTTTACCTTTGATTTCACCATATCAATTTGAAAACCAAAAATATTCAAGCCGTACATTCTTCTGAGCTGCACACCTACACGGAGGTGTAGGTCTAGACCATCTCATTAGTTAGTGTTAACCACTGACCCTTGACCTTTGATCTGTCTGTGTGTCTGACAGGATCCAGTAACGGGTCTTCTGCCAGGCAGCCCAGATCACCCGGACGCCTGGGTCAGAGACAATGTTTACAGCATCGTGTCGGTGTGGGGCCTCAGTCTTGCCTACAGGAAGAACGCCGACAGGGATGAAGACAAGGCCAAGGCCTACGAACTGGAGCAGGTAGGCATGTATCTGTTTTGGCCTGTGGAGAAGAAGAACATGGGATTAGGGTTGAGAGTTCATGTTTTTATTCCCTGAAGTATCATATTTGTTCTCGTTGGTCCGTATCTTGTTGCAGAGTGTGCAGCTCCTTTCTTTCTGCTGATGAAGGGCCGCATTCGAGTCTCATGTTTCTCTTCCTGGGCACCAGGAACGCTGTGTTGAAAAAGTTGACATTTAACCATCCCTCTCTCTCTCTCTCTCTCTCTCTCTCTCTAGAGTGTGGTAAAGCTAATGAGAGGTGTCCTTCAGTGTACTATGAGGCAGGTACGTCACGTCAAAAGGATTTTTTTTTTTGTTCTCATGCTTTTTCTTTGTGCTGCGCTTTCCTCTTTAATCGTATTGACACACATCTTTTTCCCTCTGTATCTGTGTCTCTCTGTCTCTTTTTAAACACACAAACACACACAGGACACGTTGGGAAGTAAACACAGGAGTTGGACAATGTCCCAGAAATAACAGTAAATAAAGTGAAAGTTAAACCCTGCTGATCCACTGTTTTAAGCCTCGGATAAATCCTACTGACATCAATTCTTACTTTTTCTCGTATTAGTGCTTCACATTAATATCTCAGTGTGATAACTGCTCTTAAAAGAACAAAATATTGAAGTAATTCTATTGAAACACAGATAGAAATGTCTATAAAAAATAGATATTGATAGAAATCCTGTGGTCTAATACAGTCAGAGATACAGTGCTAAAGGGGCAGCTATATCAGTTAATTAATTAAATACTGAATTATCTCTGAATTGCTCTGTGGTCTGTGGCACTGTAAGGCTCATCCCTAGTATAATGCTACGTGTTCCTTGCGATAAATATGTGCTTCATCAACTACATTCTGATTCCTTCAGTTGGATATTTTTGTCATTGATCGATTTGATCCGTTGACCGCACTCTCTGGCCTCCATCAGCTGGATAAGGTGGAGAAGTTTAAATACAGCAGAAGTACCACAGACTGTCTCCACGCCAAGTACAACACCAGGACCTGTGCGACAGTCGTCGGGGATGATCAGTGGGGTCACCTCCAGGTCGACGCCACCTCGCTCTTCCTGTTTTTCCTCGCTCAGATGACCGCATCAGGTGAATATTGTGACCTTATTCTATTAGGCTTGGGCTGAAATTTGTGGGTCTAAACAAAGTTATATAATTAAAAAATGAAATACTCAACATATCAGACAACTTAAACAACACATGTACAGAATTTTAACAATAATCCAATGCTGAGGATTAAAGCGAACAAACATCCTTGCAGGTGGTATCATAGGGTGAGATCCATTCATCAGTTTCTCTTTGAGTGAGTTTTTAAATAGGTATTTGCATCTGATTTCACTGCTTTGGCAATAAATGTTTGAACTGCTGTGAAGATGCAGCGTTGCTTATACCTGAAACTTGAAATACAAAAATGTAATTATATATTATGAATGAAAAAAACTGCCACTATTTATGTATTATTTAAAAAAAAACAACAACTGAAACATAAAATACAACAATATAATTGTATTATAAACCTGTATTTGTCACGAGAAAGCAGAACCACAGGGACTTTGATATTGTAGCATAGCAATTGATCATAAATGTATGTTTTTAAAAACCATGTTGACCATGTTTTATGTTTCATAAAATATCATCAGCAGCTTTTTATATTTCTGCATTAGCTTTTAATGTCGTTGTAATCCTGTGCTTTGATGAATTAACCGTCCTGCTGCGTGTGTGTGCGTCTACATGTGTGTTTCAGGTCTTCATATTGTCTACACCCAAGATGAAGTGGACGTAGTTCAGAATCTCATGTTCTACATCGAGGCAGCTTACAAAGTGGCAGTAAGTGCTCGTTCATTCACAAACTTGAACTTGGTTTTACACAGAGGGAGGCCGAGGAGAAAGTGGGTTAAGAAAAGTATCAGTGTTTTGAGTTTGTGTGTTTATTATTTTTCTGAAGACTTGAGGGAAAGCATTAACATTGTCATCTGCTTTTCTGGTTCCCCACAGGATTATGGGATGTGGGAGAGAGGAGACAAAACCAACCAGGGCATCACTGAGATTAACGCCAGCTCTATTGGCATGGCCAAGGTTAATACACACATACACACACACGCACACACACACACACACACACACAAATATACAGTAAATACATGAATGTATGCTACATGAACGGCCGCAGGAGAACAGTGGGAAGTGAGGGTGAAGAGAAGAAACTGCCCCGAGCGAGAGCAGAGCTTCCCCCCGCAGAGGCGCAACAGGTGCTCCAGTAAAAATCTCTGGCACGGTGCAAGGTGTCTAGTCACTGCGACGGCCTTTACACTGACCTTTATACAACCCCGACTCTCCAAACTGATTCAGGATCAGATAGGAGACTTTGTTTTGGTGTTCAAAGTGTACACAGCAGCACCAGTGTATCCTGGCTTCAGCATGAACAAATGTAATCCTGCTTTCAGATAAAATCTTTCAATTATCAGCCGTGTTTTTACATAAATGTTTTTGATGTCATTGGATGGTTTTTGGCAGAGCTTCGTCTCACTGCATAAAAAAAAAAACAAAAAAAACATCCACATCCTTCAAATATAAGGAAACTTAAAAATCCCTGACAAACATTTTAAGTTGTGAAATTTTAACATAGCTTGATACTCACCCTCTCTCTGCGCCTGTCCCAGTGCTGTCCTTGGCCGGCAGTGAACAGGAGGTATCAGGTTCTCTTTGGTCTTCCAAGAATGGCCCCTGGCTCAGAAATAACACAGTACTCGCAGTACTTATCCTAGTGAACACACACACACACACACACACACACACACACACACACATGCATATATACAGACACACAGTTTAATTTAGGACTTTGGAAACAGGCACCACTGCAGGACGTTTGCTGCTCCATTAATTACATGTAGTTTTTAGCATTTATAAAAGCAACACAGCATGAATTGAATGTAACACACACTTTCATACTGTTGTGTACTGATGTACTACTACTTTATATACACACTACCGTTATACAGTATATGTATATATACTATACACATAGAGTTGTGTATTTTGACTATAAAAAGGGACAGTTACACAAAAAAATTATACTGTAAGTTTCTATACACAGAATAATATTATATAATGTTTGTTTATCAGAGAGATATTCTCGATGTTGGCAGATAAAACACATAGAAAAATTGTAGTAAATGAATAATTATTGATCTTTGACCGTGGATATTTATGGATATTTTCCAGTTTGAGGGATCTTTACCAAAAATAGCTTGTTCATGTTACAAGATAATGATGAAATTTTAATTGAGGCAGGTTGGTGACATCAGCACTTGTTTCTAAATTCATGCACAAAATTGGTGGAATTGTTTTTTTTAAATCAACAAATTGATTAATTGACTGATAGTTCTAATTCATTAGTTAAATTGAATGAAATTAGATTTGGATTCAGAACCAATCAGGATGTTTCTCTGTGAAAATCATTGAAAATCATAAGTCTGTGCTCCATACTGCACTGTAACTACACTAAGCCAGACTGTGCTGTAATCTACAGAATATACACTGTATGTGTGATGTTACACATTATACTACACCGTATATTACTGTTGGCCAGTTTTAATGAGGGTCACATGACTGCTGTGTGTCCTGCAGGCAGCTCTGGAGGCATTGGACGAGCTCAACCTGTTTGGAGCAAAAGGAGGACCTGGATCTGTGGTCCACGCCCTGGCTGATGACATACAGCACTGCCAGGTACACACACACACACATACACACACGCACACACACACAATCATGATATCATGTTTTATCTGCATCTTTTGATTTTCTGATTTATCCTCCACTCTCTTTGTCTCAGTCCATCCTGACCTCCATGTTACCCAGAGCATCCATCTCTAAAGAGGTGGATGCCGGAGTCCTGTCCATCATCTCGTACCCTGCTTTTGCCGTTGAGGACATCAGCATCGTCAACATGACCAAGGAGGAGATCATCTCAAAACTCCAGGTAATTATGGGAGCGTTAGCTCGGGAGAGGAGGAAGAAATGTCACTTATTTTGACAGAATAAAATCCATCTTCAACAGATACAGTACAGTTACATTTTATACCTCTGAACTTACTAAAGATATTTTGCCCTTTTTTATCTTCTCAGGGTCGATACGGCTGCTGCAGGTTTCTCAGAGACGGACACAAAACACCTAAAGAGGTAAACGACCTGTAAAGGAGAACGCCGCCTCGATTAATAATAGACTTAAACGATCCGACATGATGGCTGCATGTGGCTCTGTTTATGTTCTTGCTGAGTAGATTGGACCTGGACCCTACAGTACATGAGCAGCAGCACCAACAGGTCTGGTCACAGAGGGCTGAGTGTGGCTGCTCTGGCTGCATGTCAATAGGAACTAGGAGGAGGCCATTTAGTTAATGGACTGTAGAAAAAAGGTCTTTTGTTTGGTTTATTCTTTGGAGGTCAGAGAGTTCACAGGCTGGTCTTAAAAGCTTCTCCCTACATCAAATTCTTTGTTCTGATTTTCATATATTAGGCTTCTTAACTCCAGATTTTCTTTTAGTTTGGTTCTTTTTTTGCCAACAAATATATTAATAAGACAACATTTCAGGCTTTGTCAGGACTGTTCTGGTGTTTCCACGGTCGATCAACCATTCATCAAGGTGGAGATGGTGTTCAGTGTAAGGAAACAGGCACTAAAGAGCTAGAAAACTCTCGTGTTAACAATTAACTACTCGTGTTAACTACTCTTATGGTGTCTTGTCTCCTTGTGGATCTACTGAGCAGCTTTTGGTTGCCAGTGTGTGTGATCGGTCTTGAGATTATGAATATTTGTGCTTGAGTTCTGGGAGTTACAGAACTTGATTTACTTCTAAGGTGCAAGGAGAAAGGAAATAAATTCTTAAAGGGTCAAAACTCCACCGACAGGATAGAAAATAACTTTGTTTCGTCACAGAACTGCAGGCAGCAGTCTCTCTTTCCTCAGTTTGACTCTGACCTTTTGTAAATGAGGAAGGAGAATGCAGGTAGAGGCTCCTGTGTCTGCAAAAAGACAAATTTCTAAAGCGCCTCATAGAAAGACACTGAAACCTTCTCACTTTCAGAAACACATTACAGCAGGACTCAATAGTTCTTCCTGTCTGTTTTCCTACAGGATCCAAACAGACTGTATTACGAGTCCGCAGAGCTGAAGCTGTTTGAGAACATCGAGTGTGAGTGGCCGCTGTTCTGGACCTACCTCATACTGGACGGCATTTTCATCAACAGCCCCGAACAGGTAATTATACACCTGTATTTGTGTTTCTAATCATCACGCCTCGACAGCACGTATACACACATCCTCAGTGGATATTTACACAGTCAGTGTTTGTGTTCATTCGTCCAGGTGCAGGAGTACCAGGAGGCTCTGGAGGGCATCCTGATCAAACAGAAAGACGGGATACGACTGGTCCCAGAGCTCTACAGTGTCCCCGCAGAGAAGGTGATGAATTCAGGGGAAGCTCGAGAAATTCTCAACAATATAAAATGAACAATATAATGTGCACGGTTTTATTCTGTTGTGTGTTCATATCTTTATATATATATACAAACAGGTGGAGGAGGAGTACGGGAACCCTCACTCTGTGGAGAGGGTTCCTATGGGCAAGTGTCCTCTGAAATGGGCGCAGTCTCTGTACATCCTGGGAAACCTTTTGTCCGAGGTGAGCCACCGTTTCATCAGCTAACACCTCAAACACGTATAAGAAAATGATCATCCCCATCTGTGTTTTGTTTGTTCAATCAGTCTCTAACTTGGCAGATTTTACTTTCTCATCCATCAAAATAAATTCCTCTGGCTTCTGAGGCTCTTAATTTTTTTTGATCTCTTGTGTCATTTTTCAGGGTTTTCTTGCCCCCGGAGAGATCGACCCTCTTAACCGGCGTTTCTCCACCATCCCAAAGCCTGATGTGGTTGTACAGGGTGAGTTATCGGGAAAAATGATGAGGCTTTTAGTGCTGAAACTTCTGTCTTTCGGCCAATGGCCACAGTGGTTTGAAGGTGTGTGTGTGTGTGTGTGTGTGTGAGAGTTTTTGAAAGCATGCTAAAACCCTTCTCTCTCCTCTTGCAGTGTCAGTCCTGGCAGAGTCCGAGGAGATTAAACAGATGCTTGTGAAGAACGGTATCGAAGTGGAGACTGTGGCTGACATCCATCCCATCCACGTGCAGCCCTCCAGAGTCCTCAGCCACATTTACGCCAGACTTGGTACGACCTCGGATAAGAATATGATCGCTAATATTATCAGAATTTAAATCACTTTTAGGAATAAAGAGAAATTTTCAGTTTTTTAAGACTCAGAATTAGAACGTCACAAATCTGCAGAAAAGCAAAATCAGCAGTAATCTTGATTCCAAAAGCCCAGATCCAAAAGTGGAATTGAGACACTTTCAGCTGAGAGGTTAATAACGAGGAAATGCTGTGACCTCTCACCTTTACCGTCTTCTCCCCTGCTCCGTCTCCAGGGCGTAACCCGAGGCTGGGTCTGACGGGACGACCCTACAGGAGAATCGGAGTTCTGGGAACCTCCAAGTTCTACATCATCAGGAACACCATCTTCTCATTCACACCTCAGGTCAGTGAGAAAACAAACCAGTTGTTCTGAGTTTATTACCAAAATATCTTGGGGAATAACTTGATTGTTTAATTGAATGAAAATATAAAGTCCCTGATTTCCCATAATTCTCCCTCCAGTTCATCGACCACCAGCAGTTCTACATGGCGTTGGACAACAAGATGATCGTGGAGATGTTGAGGACAGAAATCAGCTACCTCTCGTCCAGATGGAGGATGACCGGACGACCCACCGTCACGTTTCCCATTTCACAGTCCATGCTGAGTGAATATACACACACACACACACACACACACACACACACACACACACACACACACACACACACACACACACACACACCATGTATCTGGAATTGCTGAAAATGTCACGAGTTATCTAAACATGAAGTCTTAAAGTGGTGGAGAACAAGATTAATGTGTGTGTGTGTGTGTGTGTGTGTGTGTGTGTGTGTGTGTGTGTGTGTGTGTGTGTGTGTGTGTGTGTGTGTGTGTGTGTGTGTGTTTCAGCTGAAGACCGTACAAACCTGGACCCTGCAGTGTTGGCTACACTGAAGAAGTTACAGGACGGTTACTACGGAGGAGCAAGGTGAATTTTAATTTGTAGTTTGTACATTTACACACACACAATATACGTGGTGGATTTTTTGAGGGCTGCTATTTTCAGTCATTGAAGTCATTTTAACATCTGAATAATTTTAGGCAAAAAATGTTAAATTAAATTTAAAAAGGGAATTTAGTATTTCCCTACCAGACTGACTGTATATTCATATTTTCTGGAAGTTTACTGTAGATGTGTAAGAAGATCAAATTTCCAGGTAATGAAAACGTTAAATACATTAATTAAATGAGAACATTTTAAATTAATGAGGAAATTTCATTAATTCCTAAAACCTTTTCACAGTTAAAGGTTTTCATGAGACTCTTGTAGTTTCCTCTGTAGCTTTTTGTCACACACAAATAAACTGAATTCAAATGAATTAAACCAGACTCCAGCTCTTCATTATGATTCCTTTGTTTGACCTTTGACCTACATTTAATTCATTTGTTAAATAATGTATGTTTACATATGGACTTTAAACATGTACAGAACTTAAAAACTTCTCTTTTCCCTCCTCCTTCCTCTCTAGGATCCAGACAGGGAAGCTGTCGGAGTTCTTGACCACTTCCTGTTTTGCTCACCTCAGTTTCCTGGACGGTAAGGCTCCCGGCAGCATGGGCCGCCACACCGAAGAGTATGATGGTGATGATGATGATGATGATGATGAGGGTGGCGGCGATGGATACGTGCATGAGTTACGTTATGACGATGGTAAGAAAAAAACAGCTTGTTGGAATGGTGACACCAGCTGTGGAAAAATATCAGAAAGAATAAAACACTCTCTACGTTGCCAGGTGGCGTTAGTTTGTTTTCCTACGTTGGTTTGACCATTCCTGGTGGTATGTGTTCCTAAAATACATACACGGTCGTAGACTGTAGTCGTACATACAGGCAAAGTGGTGATGTTTTACCTGTATGTTCTGTTAACGCCATGCTCAGCTGCACAGGACACATGAAGAGGAAACTTTGTCAGATTTCACCCAAAAGACCAGATTACCATGTAGTCTGTGGATATTGTTAAAGTCTCTCTCTTTCATTAACACTGCCGTTCATTTACAGGTAATTCGACAGCCCGCTGTTATCCTGTAATCCCATTCATACAGAATTATCTCACTTATTAATTAAAAAAATATTAATAATTGTTCTTTTTAATATTCCTCACCTGCCAGAAATCTAATGTGAAACTAAAGTCTTTTGTTAAATCTCATTAATAACAGAATTCTGTTTTATCCTTATGTCACAGCATCACTGATCTTTGACCCCACCCCCACCCCCACGCACCTCGTCCCCCTCCTCCACGCATCTCCTCATTGTGTAATGTTATTAAGCTTAGAGTTTCTCAACCTTGGCTTCCCCAGGAAATAGTTGTTTTTGATATTTTAAAGGAAAAAATGAATTGTGAAAAATCATTTCTATAACTGATTCAGAGCTCTGATCTGCACTCTTATTAAATATAAACGACAGAGCTCGGGGGTCTTGGTTTGAAAAAGTTGAGAAACACGTCTTTGCTCGTCTTTGCTCGTTAGTGAATGAGACTTGTTCAGTAATGCTGCATTTAAATGACTGAGTCTAGGTCCTAAACGGCTCGTGTTGCTTGCGTTCTGTGCACGTCTGGATTCTTTTAATGAACATGCATGATGTAATGTGGCTTGTCTGATCGTGCATGTGTGTGTGCACGTGCCTGCACCAGTTGATCTGTATCTTCACAGTTTTCAAGCATTTTGGTTTTGAATAATAATGATGTTCACAGCTACATTAAAATCAAACTTGCTCATAAGTAAACCTGTAGCCATACAGACAATGTTATACACTTATATAAAGTCTGTGACACTTTTAGCTTCAGGAGAATACAGCTCCTGTTGAAGACTACTGATAGATACAGTGAATATCTTGAAACCTCAAATACAACAAAAACTATATGCTTGGTTAAATATTTTAATCTTTTTTTTGTGGATTTGGGGGAATAAACCCTTTAAAAGCTGCATGTTACACTGTTGTAAAAATAACAACACTTATAATAATATATTTTAATTATTTTAACTATTTTAACATTTTAGTTATTTTCATTAAGTCATTCTCTTAGTTTGTTTTAAATAATAAAGTTCTCTGACTTTTTAAGGATCCCCATCTTGATCTTTTAATCCCATCCTCCTCCATCCCCCTTTTTTTTTTTTTTTTAATCCACTCATCTAGAGGCCGATGACCTCGCTCAGTACCTGGATCACCTGTTGGCCCAGTCTGCCCCCAAGAAGGCCAAAAAGCCGATGGGGGGTTTGAGCAGGTTCAAGGCTATTGCCACCAAAACGAAGGACATGGTGTCTCTGATGAACAAGGCTCAGGACCTCAACATTCAGAGTGAGTGGATCCATGTTCTGGGACCGGATCGTCTCGACAGAGAGAGACTTTCCAAATACTGACACAGCATTGAAGATAATATCGCTCGCTGACTGCTCTTTGTTTTTTGTGTGTGTGTGTGTGTGTGTGTGTGCGTGTGTGTGTGTGTGTAGACGTCAACATGTACCTGCCAAACAAACTGTTTCGCTCTACTCAGCCGTCTCTCAACCTGAACCTCCGGGACTCTTCTGATCAACAACAAACTTCAGTGTGTTTTAGTTCCTTCCCTTTTATATCCACACACACACCATCCCCTTTTTGCCAGCCAGTCTTTTCTTTCTTTTTTTCGTTAACTTTACACCTCTGCCCTCCAGGATCCAGGATCAGCCACAGCAGAGTGCGGCATCCCCAGAGACGCTAGCGGAGACATCGATTACAGCGCTTTGGCGCAGCTGCTAAAAGACACACAAAACCTCCAGGACCAGGCCGATATACTCTACATCCTCTTCAAAGACAAGTGAGAAACACAGTTTTATACACGTGTATTGGGAGCGTTGTTTCAGAAGCAAATACTTTTCAAAGCTGAGGTGTCGACTCTGACTGTGCAGACTTTATTAGACCCTCTGTGTTTGTTCCCGCCTTTTCAACAGGGGTATGGAGTGGGACACTCAGCTGCACGGTAAAGGCTCCACGGTGCGCTCTCTGCTCAGTGACCTTTACGTGAAGGCCGGTGAACTCAAACACTGGGGCCTCATCAGGATGATCTCTGGCATGCTGAGGAAGAAGGTGGAGGAGCTCGACTCGGTACGACACACCCTCCGGTTAATATAGACGCGGTTATAAATAAAACGGAGTGGCATTTAGTGACTCTAGTGGCGGCCATGTTTTATTGTAAACTTATCTGAAAAACCTTATTAGTGATTTCTGTCTCAGGAAGTTAATTACAGTTTAGTGAAAATCCAAAATTTTCCATCTGTTACTCCCATTTTCCTGTTGGTGTTTTCCCTCTGTCACATTTCCCTTTTACCTCAGCTCTTCTGTGATTGGTTGTGATCTCTCGTGTCCTGCAGGCCTGTTCTGATTTGCTGGCGCACCAGAAGCACCTGACCGTGGGTCTGCCCCCTGAACCCCGAGAGAAAACCATCACCGCTCCCATCCCCGCAGACCAGCTGGCTGCTGTCATCGACCAGGCCAGCGACAACAACATCAGCGTGGCCATACTCACTCAGGTGGGTCGCTATCCTCCGCTGTCATCTGTGAATCCCCTCACCCCTTGTCTTCCTTCTTCATCCTTTCTCTCTCCCTTCTCCTCCTCCTCCTCCTCCATCCTTCAGGAGATCATGGTGTACCTGGCCATGAGCATAAGGACTCAGCCCAGTCTGTTCAGCGAGATGTTCAGGCTCCGCATCGGTCTCATCATCCAGGTCATGGCCACCGAACTGGCCCAGTCACTCAACTGCTCAGGTACGAGAGAGAGGAAGAGCATGAAGTTTTAAAAGTGGGCAGCTTGTGAGAAGATACTCAGTTTACTGTCACAGCAGAGTACGAAAAACAAAATATTTACTACAATTTTTGTCATTTTTGTTGAAAATATTGCTCAATGATTTGCCTTTTTAGAATTACATTTTACAATGTAATTACAATTACATTTAGAGTTACATTAGTTTATCTGATTGTGTGTGTGTGTGTGTGTGTGTGTGTGTGTGTGTGTGTGTGTGTGTGTAGGAGAGGAGGCGACAGAGAGTCTGATGAGTTTGAGTCCGTCTGAACTGAAGAATCTCCTCCACCACATCCTCAGCGGGAAGGAGTTTGGAGTCCAGCGCAGCGGTCAGTCGGCCAATCACATCCTCTGTTTCTCATACACAACAACAACAACAACAACAACAACAACAACAACAACAACAACAACAACAACAACAACAACAACAACAACAACAACAACAACAACAACAACCCACTATATAATATTATATCAGTCTGTTGAGTCTTTTTTTTTGTTGTTGGTTTGTTTTTCTCCTCCTCAGTGCGAGAGATGGACGCCGGAGTCAGTCCCGCCATCTCCATCCATCACCTGGGCAACGTCGGCGCCACCAAGAGCGAGAGAGCCGGCATCAGCAAACTGAAGAGCGACATGAAGATGGTAGGATCCTGCGGTTGTGAGATTCAATGGCACGAGAGAAACAGACACTAAAGTCAACGTTAAATCATAAGTTATCACAGCGTTGATGCAGATTCATCCTGTAGTTTGTCATGAATAAAAAGCAGTCAGCGTCGAAAGTCAGAATATTGTAGGAGATGACGGAGGGTGAGATTAAAGCGCAAGAGGAATCTTATTTTGAAAATGCTGTGGGCAAACTGGCTTTTGTCTTTTTGCAGCTGGAACACAGGTTGTCTCTGACGGATCTGAGTAAGGTGATAACGGCCGGGAACGCTGAATCAGATTAGGAGCTAATTCAGATGGATGGTGCTGATGGGAAAAAATCATTTGTGGAGAAATTGAACGTTGAATTGTTGCGGAGGAGGATTGTGGAGATAATTAAGAATGAGGCGATAATTCGAGGCAATTTTCTTTTTTATTATTATTTATTTATTGTTTTTATGACTAATTAGGGTGAAATTAATGAAGTTGCTGTGGTCGTCTGTGGGCGGAGCTGCAGGGTGTTAATTCACCCTCCATGTAAACGCCACCAATCAGATCGATCAGTCACAAATGTTTGGTGACGATGTGATTTATTTCTGTTCGTCAAAAAAGGGTTGTACTGTTTTCCAGAGCTTTCAGCTGGACCACACTGTCTTCATCAGTGTTTGCTCAGTTGTGATGAAACCGGTCAAGCGTCAAACAAACTCTCCCCCACACTGGAAACAACCTCAAGTCAAGGTCCACTTACTCGCTTTTTCCTGAGCTTTCGAGCTGACCTGGTTTTGTCGGCCCCGCTGTTTTCCGAGGTCAAGGAAGAACTGTGAACCTAAAAAGTCTGTTCACAGCTGTTGGGGGAGTGGTGGTGATAAATTGCCTCATGAAGACTGTGTGATGCAGCCGAAAGCTCCAGGACAAGCAACTTGAGAGAGAGATTTCCCAGCTGCTCAAGAACAAATCGTCAAGCTCAACTTGATAACTTGTTGTGTCTTTGTTTCGATTCAGGAACCCAGGCTGTCTTTAACAGATGCAGTTATGGAGGTGATGATGATGATGATGATGATGATGATGATGATGATGATGATGATGATGATGATGATGATGTTGTTATTGAGAGTTAATTCGTCGGTCTGTGGAGTTGTGAACTGCGGATTTTGAGGATGTTGAGAAGGATGATATTATTGTCATTAACTTTAGCTCCGGCCGAACGTTAGCAGTTTGATGGTGTCTTCTCTGTTGCAGATGGACCGCAGGGTGTCTTTGACTGACTCAGTGAAGGTGGTGATGATGATGATGATGATGATGATGATAATAAATAAGAATCTGGAGGAAGTGAGGGAAGAGTTAGATGCTCAATTAAAATAAAAATAGAATTGTAATTAAGTGTTAATTTAATTCTGATGCAGATGCAGAGGGTGTCTTTGACAGAGCTGATCAAAGTGATGATGATGATGTTGTTGATGATGATGATGATGATGATGATGATGATGATGATGATGATGATGGTGGAGGTGTCAGCGATTTATCCCTTAATTCTTCAGCTAATAGAAAGGGTCCAGGTGTGAACAGGAAGTGAAAATCAGAGTCTCTTTGATGCAAAGTGGATTTTTTTTGTTGTTTTTGTTTTGTTTTGTTTTTTTCTCCATTTCAGTTCGACCAGTCACCCTCGACCTCCCCTCGAAAGGTGACACCGATAACGACACTGACATTAAACTTTGGGGTGTTAATTCACACGAACCTCGACTAAAAGTTGAGCGATTAACACTCTGCTGCCTCCTGGCTGCTGATTCACAGTCTGAAAAAAATCAAATATATTGCAACTTTAATATCATAATTTACGGTTGATAAAGCTGCAACTAACAATCGGTTTAATTATCAATCTGCTTCTTGATTCATTGATTCGCTACATGACATCAACACAAAGATTAAAGCAGCAAAGATTTAGATTTTAGAAGCTGGAGCTGGTGAATAAATGATACAAACACGTTTCCTATTGATCAGCGAAACGGTAAATCGGTTCATTCTAGCAGCTGTAGTTTGTAATTTAAGATAAATTATTAATTTCCGGTCAAGCTTTTCAAATGAAACTTAATTCCTTTTTTACACAATGATGAAGTTTCGCTTGTGTGCGCAGGGTTTAGAGCCGCCTAACGCTGTTACACACCACAGTATTAATCAGTTCATTTATTTGATCTTTAATCGGTTGTTTGCTAACTTCATCTCTCTCATCTCCCGTCTCAGTTTTCATTCACGCATGTTGTGACTCTGAGTGTAAGAAGCCAGAATCCACTGGTTTCACGTGGTTTTGTTTTGTTTGGATCCAACACTCGCGCTTTGATTAACAGTCGAACTTTGTTTTTTCATTTTGTGCATCTTTTTTCCTTTTTCCCCCCTCTCTCTCCTCTATTCTGTTTTTATTTATTTTTTTCACTTTGTCTCAGAGCATTCGATCTCAGTCACTGGACATAGACAACATCGAATCTGGGGTAAAGATTTGTCTATTGATCAGATATTTCTGACATGTTTTTTGAATCACAAGGTCAGATGTGGAAATTGGTTCTGCTGGATTGTGATGATACCTCAAAAACAGGAAGGGGGTGCTGTTCTTTCACAATAAAACACAGCTACAGTGAATCATTTCTGTTCTGATGAATTCAGAGGTACAGGCTGCCGTCGATTGAATCTCTGGACATCCCGGGGGGCACTCCGGTTGCCAAGGATACCAGACACGGCCAATGGCTGCGCAGGAGGCGTCTGGACGGCGCTCTGAACCGAGTCCCGGTCGGGTTCTACCAGAAAGTCTGGAAGATCCTGCAGAAGGTCAGTCAGGTTCAACTCTGAACTTAAAGCTCATCTTGCATCCTTCATAAGCCATAAAGAAAAATTATAATAATATAGTAATAATATTGTATTAGAATAATATAATATAAAATCTGTTGCCCTCCAGTGCCACGGTCTCTCCATCGAGGGATTCGTCCTTCCTTCTTCTACCACCAGAGAGGTAAGAGATCCTTTTTTCTTTTTTTTTAAATTGCTAATCTGATGCCGTCCTCTCTCTCAGTTTGATCTTTTTTTATTTTTCACTTTACCACTTAAAACCAAACACAACAACATGTGATCAAACACTGACACCAGAATTAAGTCTGAAGTGTTTTCAGGGACCTTATCGGATCTTCTATAGGTTTGTCTTTCAACACTTTTAAGTTGGACACGTTTCACCTCCTATTTTACCGCCTCTTTTCCTTCTGTCCCGCCTCCAGATGACGCCCGGAGAGATCAAATTCTCCGTCCACGTGGAGACGGTCCTTAACCGCGTCCCTCAGCCCGAGTACCGGCAGCTGCTGGTGGAGGCCATCCTGGTCCTCACCATGCTTGCCGACGTGGACATCCAGAGCATCGGCTCCATCATCCACGTGGAGAAGATCGTCCACCTCGCCAACGACATGTTCTACAAGGATCAGGTGAGCGTCGACGGACTCTACTCTCAGATCCGGTGTCCATGTTTACGGGATCAAGTAAGGAAGGATGTTCCTCTTTCCCTTCTCCTCCAGATGGACCTGGGAGCAGAGGAGCACATCCTGGAGAAGGACCCGTCCACCGGAGTGTGCAGGCTGCTGTACGACAGCGCCCCCAGCGGCCGCTTCGGGAGCATGACCTACCTCACCAAGGCTGTGGCGGTGTACGTGCAGGATGCGCTGCCCAGCGGGTCGTGCCCTGTGCAGTGAGAGAGGACGCCACGAGAAAACCCCGGAGCAGGCGTGAAACCACTCGATCAGAAACATCCAATATTTTTTACATTCATTTAACAGTAAATTAACAGCAAATAATATCGTCACTGTGTGTTGATCAGTGACAGAAACGAGTGAAGCTGGAAGTTCGAAACACGTGTTACAGTATGTTTTAATGAATTGTGGGAATTCACTGAGTATAGAGTTAGACGTCAAAGCTAACTGTTTCCTCCTGTTCTCAGTCTTTGTGCTAAGCTAAGCTAAACTAAGCTAAGCTAAGCCAAGCCCAATGGTTCCTACCGAAGATGCACATCTTCACAAATAGGTCACACATATATAAATATACAGTTTCAGTAACTTGCTCAAACGGTTGTACTTTTTAGCAAACGTTACTCAAACAGTGGTTGGGGACTATTTTCAGCTGCGGATTAACACGCATTTATTGCTCCAATGAGGACGGAGCATGAGGGATTTAGTGGCACAGAGGAATAAGATTTTGGATACATAAACAATACCCCTTCGCTTGATCCATTCGTTGCTGGTTTTGGTCTTTTTAAAAGGGATTTGTTATCCAGAATAAAATACTAAAAACCAGTGGAAGTGACTGTGATTCGACTCTGACAGTCTCCTAAAGCAATTCAGTTTCTTCACAGCTGAGTAACCACCGACTAACATGAACTTTCAGCCGGGACACACACTTTTCTTCTCACCAAATCTTCGTGTAACTTTAGAGACTCCAAAACTAAACTGTAAATTAAAAAAAAAAAAATCTAAATAATTCTTCTAACTGATCCTAATTTATTCCCACACAGAAACTCAGATTGTAGTTCACGTCGCGATACCTCAAATCCTACCTGCTGTGTGATGTACAAAATAATGGATGAATATAATTAGATAATCTATTGACTATTTATTTTATAGTTTTTAAACAATTACAAAACAAGGAATGCTATTGTCGCACTTAATGTGTGTGTGTGTGTGTGTGTGTGTGTTTGTGTGTGTGAGTGAGTGTGTGTGTGTGTGTGTGTGTGTGTGAGTGAAGCTACAGGAATGCTGTTTCATTTGAACTATGCAAAAAATAGCAGTGATTTAGAACCGCCTGATTTTTCAAACGCATTAAAAGCTTTTATTGTGTTAAAGAGCTTTTAGTTTGTAGAGTACTTCAGATACTGTACTTTTGCAGTGAATATGAATATGTGCAATTCAGATCTCTGACCTAATAAGAAGGGAAATGCCTTAATTTAAGCTAAACTTTAATTTAGTTTCTTTACTTTAGTGAAACTTGACAGCCATTTACTCACATCAGTTGTTTTACATTATTTCACTTGGACACATTTCACCTTTAACCGTTTGCTTTACAAGTGTGTTAATGATTCGCCGTCCAGCACGCTGAGAGAAAACTGTGAGTAAATTCAAGGTAATTCAAGAACGTACGCGATTATATGTGTTTAAGTCGAGACACTGGTGGGAAATGCGTCATGCCTCTCGGTTTAAATGTTAAATAACTGAATTATTTTGTGATATTTGAAGATGCGAGCGCCACACTCCACGTGAACGACGAACAAACATGGCAGAATGAGAGAGAGTCACTTCTCTGCATCACATTTAGTATTAATATTATTATTATTATTAGATTTGAAAAGAATGGGAGGCAGTGTTTTCTGTGTTACTAGGCAACAGCATCCACTGAACAAACTTGTCTGTTTTTTTGTTTTTTGTTGTTGTTTTTGAAGCTAATTCTGTAATAAAAGAGAAAATCTTGTTGTTCTTCAGAGTTTATCTTCTAACTTTTTGACCTGCCGTGGATTCTGTCCACTCGCCTGCTTTCTCCAGAGCTTTCAAGCATATCACACTGTTTTCATCAGCTGTCCTCGCGAGTTTTCATGGAGGTGGGTCTGCTGAAATGCACGCCTGCAGGGCTTCTCGACTTTGTTGTCTTAAAGAAGACTGCGTGAAATGGTTGAAAGCTCCAGGAGCAGCTAGTAAGTGGTCCTTGAGTTGGGACTTTTGTCACGTTACAATTTCCAAAGTCACCAATGAACTTTTGATGCTTAATTAATTGATATTTGTTGGATATTAACGTACAATGCTCTGCTCATTTGACTCGTGATAGTCACTCATTTATTTCTCCATCTAAATTTGACAATAATTCGTCTTTGACATGTGAACAGTAATTGTTTGGATGACCGAAGCTGCAGTCACAATCAGGAGTGTTTAAAGGTTTAAAGCGTCATGTTCTGTCTGATAATGGGTGAAAACATCCAGTAGGTGGTGCTACACATGCACAGACTAATTCTAGTATCATTATTAACTTCCATGATTCAGGTCAGGGCCATTTACAAAAAAGTAGAAGTATGAAGTAGCAGAAAAAAGGAAATACTCAAGTGACAGTGAAACACAATGACGGACTGAAAATCACCAGCTGGTTAAAAGAGCAGCTGCAACATCCCGGTTCAAACGGGGACTGTGGCTGAAACTATTCACTCTTTTTTTTTTTTTTTTTTTTTTTATTCTACGGAGAAAACTGTCAGATTGAAAGATGGTTTGACTCTGGAGGACGTGTCCTCTTCAACTTCATCCTCCAAACCAAAGTTGAAAATAGAGGGGAAATGTTGCTCAAGGCCTGGAACAGCTAAACTGAATATTAAGGCTTTATAATGACCATTTTACACATAGTGTTCACATAAAACTTTATTCCTTTCCCTCTGACCGTGAGATGCATTTTGTAAAATAAGAAGTCATGTCAAGGTGATGAACCCAACTTACCTGAGCACAGCCTTCCCCCGAGAAAACATATTTATTCATTTAATTGTTCAGTTTAGTTTATCTCCTTACACAGAGCCAGGAATATAAATCTGGTGGAGAAACACTGAATTGCATCATTTTATTGAGGGTATTAACTGTTTACAGTCAAAGCCCCAAATACCCAGAAACAGAAAGTGAGGCTACCGTCCAGTTTTATAAATACACACACATGCTATTTGTAAGTTTCCTCTATGGAGGCAGATTTGTGTCATTTCTTGTGTGAAAAATCAGTTTGACAATCAGGGTGTAAATGTTAATCTGTAAATATAAAACACCTTCCAAAAATACAAAAAAAATGCATTCGTAAAGTCACAAAAATGTCTTGCTAATATAAAACTACGGCCCTGATCCTCTTCCGTGTAAAACGGATCTGCAAAATTCACCTGCCAAAGCGCTGACAGGCAAGTTTCCTCTGTGTAAAGAGATGAATCAGGGCTTTGGCAGGTGGGAAAAAAAAAAATGTATAGCCTCTTGTGGCCTAAAGGAGTATTACAAAAACAAACACTGACCAAAAAGAAACAGAAAAACTTGCCTTTTAGGGCTTAAAGAAAAAGCCACTGTGCACTCCCTGCTCAGCACCAAACTGCAGCAGCTTGTGCTAAACCTTGAACTGTGGCGTTTAGAGTTCAAAGTTTAGCTTGCAAGACCAAAATAAATGACCTGGGTTACATTAGGAAAAAGCAAACAGACGGGGGGGTAAACACAGACAACAGCCCTGAAAATGCTGACCTGTGACACACATGCACAAATTCAAGTGTTCAGTCGATGGATCAAAAAAAAAGGAAAAACTGATTCAGATGTGAAACATACGACCCAGTTTGCAGCAGTCAGCAAAACAGAGTCGTAAATCAGGATTCATGTCAAAATGGTTTCTCAAGATTCATGTGAAACACGCCAGTCGATAAAAAAAAACAACAAAAAAAACAGCTTTTTCTGTTTCTCTTAGTTTGTTTAGTTGCTCAGTTTCAGTCATCCAGACAGTAAATTCTGTGATTAAACCAAGTGAAACCTCATGTGTTTGGACTCTGGTTCATAATATCTGGATGACACCTGCAATGTGAGCAGCACTTCAGCCTTAGAAACGAGGTCGTCTGTCAGTGTTTCCCTTTGGTACAGAAGTCTTGACAAGAATTTCCTTTCTTTTTTTTTGTCTGGCAGGAACATTCATGACTTTTGCGATCATTACTTATTGAGCTCCACCAAGAGATTTCAGCCGTGTGGGAGCCTGTTTTTGATCCGACACTGTTGTTCTGCACAATTGATTTCATCAACCAGATTGTTTTGATTCCACAGTTAAAAAAAAAAAAAAAAGATTTCTAGGAGAAAGTTACATGTTTAAAACTAAAAGTATGATGTGCAAGATTTTTTTCTGTAGCTTGTGAAGTGCCCAGATCTTGTACTTGTCCTGTTTCAAAATGCAAAAGTACATAAAAAAATATTCATTCGTCTGTACGTCACTAATGTTAATGTTAAACCAGTCAAACGCAACACTACTTTATAACTCATTTACAGGGATGTGCCACTTTTAGAAAAAGTTCACTTATTCTTTTTATTATATATGATAAAATATTTTTTTCAATTTATTATATATATATAAAATAAATAATAAAATAAATAAAAAATTCATTAAAATGTTATTATATATAATCAAATAAAATATATATAATAACATGCTGATATATATGTTTTTTTATATTATAAATAACAGATTTATTATACATAATAAAATAACACAAAGCAAACATTCTTCAGAGTCAGCACTGTCTGCGTGTTTGAACTGTGCAGTGGAGGGAAGGGCACTGACCAGCTGTGCTTTGGCGCCATGCAGCACACAGCAGCCACAGCACAGAGATTAATACATTTGAAATAACTTACTTTTCTTTTTTTGTTTTTTTTTGTTTTTTTTTTTACCAGTGTGCACAGGGACATGTGGCTGGTACAACGTGCATGAAAAACACTGNAAACCAAGTGAAACCTCATGTGTTTGGACTCTGGTTCATAATATCTGGATGACACCTGCAATGTGAGCAGCACTTCAGCCTTAGAAACGAGGTCGTCTGTCAGTGTTTCCCTTTGGTACAGAAGTCTTGACAAGAATTTCCTTTCTTTTTTTTTGTCTGGCAGGAACATTCATGACTTTTGCGATCATTACTTATTGAGCTCCACCAAGAGATTTCAGCCGTGTGGGAGCCTGTTTTTGATCCGACACTGTTGTTCTGCACAATTGATTTCATCAACCAGATTGTTTTGATTCCACAGTTAAAAAAAAAAAAAAAAGATTTCTAGGAGAAAGTTACATGTTTAAAACTAAAAGTATGATGTGCAAGATTTTTTTCTGTAGCTTGTGAAGTGTCCAGATCTTGTACTTGTCCTGTTTCAAAATGCAAAAGTACATAAAAAAATATTCATTCGTCTGTACGTCACTAATGTTAATGTTAAACCAGTCAAACGCAACACTACTTTATAACTCATTTACAGGGATGTGCCACTTTTAGAAAAAGTTCACTTATTCTTTTATTATATATGATAAAATATTTTTTTCAATTTATTATATATATATAAAATAAATAATAAAATAAATAAAAAATTCATTAAAATGTTATTATATATAATCAAATAAAATATATATAATAACATGCTGATATATATGTTTTTTTATATTATAAATAACAGATTTATTATACATAATAAAATAACACAAAGCAAACATTCTTCAGAGTCAGCACTGTCTGCGTGTTTGAACTGTGCAGTGGAGGGAAGGGCACTGACCAGCTGTGCTTTGGCGCCATGCAGCACACAGCAGCCACAGCACAGAGATTAATACATTTGAAATAACTTACTTTTCTTTTTTTGTTTTTTTTTGTTTTTTTTTTTACCAGTGTGCACAGGGACATGTGGCTGGTACAACGTGCATGAAAAACACTGAGTGCAGGTCGGGTGAGTTGCCAGATGACTTCTGCTCAGACAGCAAGTGATGGATGGCGATGTGGTTCAGCAGCAGGAAGCATGAACTGTTCGTCATAAGAAGGAACAGTAAATACATTTTTACTGATAGAGAGTTGAGATGTAGGAGAAGCAGCTCGTTCCAGAAGTATTTTTCCCCTTTTTCCTGGTTAATGTGTAGGTCTGTGCTACGGCAGCCATTTTGAATTATTTCAGCTTCGTTTCTAGACAGCACAACAAACAACTTGGTTAGGAAAGACCCACCTGTCACTCAAAGTGGCCACACCCTCAATTATGCAGAACTTTAAGCCTTAACAAAATGTAAACAGGTGAGTTAAATAAACAGTTGTTATGAAGGAGGAAAGTTAGCTGTTAAAAGTTAGCTGGTTTTGGTACCAGGGTGTAAACATGTTTATTTCTGCTGTAAAGTTGGGACATTTTAATACGGGAGTCAATGGGGATTGACTCACTGTTGGAGCCTGACTCTAGTGGTCATTAGAGGAACTGCAGTTTTCAGCACCTCCGTGTTGGCTTAATTTTTCATCCTGCCAATGGGAAAAGCTGGACTCCTATGTGAAAATCACACACCCAAACTTTAAGGGCACATTACTACATGTCCTTGAACTGATCGTTAATTATGACGTCTGAAATCAGCAAATATTTACACAATTCCTACGGATACCTGGCTGGTTCTTCCACATCAAACTGGGAAAACAAATTATTTGGGAACAAAGTTGGAAACACTCTATTATCTGAAATAGTAAATGTATGTTGTCATATTAAGATTTCATTGAAACTAAGTGGAACTGCGCTTGAAAAACACCCCAGACTAAGATATCCTTTCTTTTTCTTTTCTTTTTTAAATAGTCTTGTTTCATCTCGTTTGACCTTTACTGTTTTCGACCCTCACACTCTCTCCCCTTTGTGTGTTTCTTTGCCAAAAATTTAATTAATAGCTATAAAATGTGTAGAGTGAAATGTTGTGTTTGTGCATGTAGACATGTGTATAGATGCTCTTATGTATGTACACTCAACACATCATTGTTCTTCCTCATGATTTGCGGCCCTTTCTCCGTTTGTTCCACTCACACACTTGGCTTTATCTCTGTCATTGTGAAAGACCGAACGTCCGAACAGCCAACAGCTGTTTGACTTTTGAACACTGGCAGCAGATTCAGTCACATTAAAAAAAGAAAAAGAAATGCAAAACTGTGCAAGTGTGAAAGCAGATGAGTCACGAGTGTCGTCCAGGCCCCTGCAGCGCAAGCGTTGGTTTATGATCCCGCTGCAGATGTATTCAATGAGTCGCAGGAGTTTCACATTAGTGCTGGTGTTCGCTGCAGCCGAGCAGGAATCAATATGTTGTCCGCACAACATGTGAATATCCCAGAGGAATCTGCTGAGCAAGCTGCTTAGCAGATTTTTACAAGCTTTGACAGCTGAATAAAGTATACTGATGAAGACCATGTGATATGGTTTAAAGCCCTGGAAAAGCGTGGAGAAACTGAAGTTAATGGAAATCTAATGGTCACTGGAGACAGACAGAAGTCATGTGAGCTTCAAATACATACTGTAAATGTAAATACAATAAATAGAGCAACAAATGTGTATTAATCCGCATTTAGTAAAACACTACAAAGCCCAGCTGTTTAAGGAAATCACTGAGCCTTTTTAAAAAAAAAAATGAAACTATACATTTGTCTCCTGTTTAAAGGAGTTATTTGTGTAAGTTTTGCTATTGCTACATAGCTAATGTTAGCATTTACAGCTATTTAAGTACCAGTTTAGAAGAAACATTGTGAGTTCAGCATCAAACTTAATCTCTTTACTCACCAAGAGTTTTCTCAGTGGTGGAAAGCAACACCAACGTTAACTCTTGTCTCCACCACGTCTTTTGTTCTACTGAAGTTAGCACGCTAACCAGCTAGCCTCAGCCTGTCTCGTCTCGTCACTTTCCGATAGCAAGTCACCTCCAATCTGCCCTGACAACGTAGCGCTGCTCAGAGGGCGTATGATAACCTCTTGTCTTGTAAACGCAACAATGGCGGAAGCTTCTGTCAAGCGACAATCACCACCACATGCTCCCGGCAAGAAACCACATTAGGTGACAGAGAAAACGTACAAATTAACGGATTGTTTTGTTCTTTTCATGAGATTTGTTGACAGTAAGAAAACTATAAAAAGGTAATTCTGTTGAATTAATTAATGTGAACATGTAGCAAGGATGTAGTAAAATATAAGACTTTTCCAGTGGTGATACTTCTTATTAAAAACCAGTTATTTGCTTAAATATTAATTAATCTAACCAAAATTAAAAATGAATCACAAATACATTCAGTTCTTTTTGTTTTTCCAATGCTTTTATTCCACCTTCTTCCAGCTCTCTGCATGTAAGTAACACAGTACATGCAGTAGACAGTACACAGTACAAAGATAATTTGGGTTTAAAAGTGCAGTCCTACTCAAACATTTCTCAAACACGCTGAGTCTACAAAATATCAGCAACCACCCGCTCTGTGCATGAAGTAAACTATGCAGGTGAGTCCAAGTGAAATCAGCGATCGCTTATTGATTTGAGAAGATGGATGTGCAAAAGAAGAAAAAGAAAAAGAAAAACCAAGGCTGTGCAGCTCATCATTAGGTAATATTTGTACACTCAACAAGGCTAGTTGTTAAATTTGCTATTGGTTACAGATTTAAGATCGTCTGAGCAAGTAGATGTCTAAAAGTTCCCACTGGTAAAGTTTTAAAAAAATCCAGTCAGGGTGATTGATTATTCTAAAACAAGCCATTAAAATATCATACAAATATATATTTTTTGTAAAAACAAATAAAATGATGTAAATGGGTACATTTTTGACATTTAAAACAAAGGGTAAAATAAATAAAAGATCACCGATATAATCACCGCATCACACAAAATCAATATACATGCATTACAGATATTGTGACTAATGCTCATGTATCCTCTATGTATTACAAATTACGTGCTTGTAGTTCAATAATTCTGTATTTGGCAGAGGAACTTGTGCCTGAACAAACTTTAAATATAACTTTTAAATGTGTAAAACTATAATAAAAAACTTGAAGATGTTAAAATGTTAAGGGCGCTCAAGCATTGTTTCGGTATTTGTAACCTCTGCTCCTTCTCTTTGCTTTGTCTTTTTGAATTTTACCACACGGCTATCTTCTTTTATGTCTCTTTTTTTCCTACTTTCTCTTTCCTCTTTAACACTTCGCGCCTCTGACAGTTGACTGTAATCCAAACCAATGCCTCAGATTCAATCATGCTTGACCAAAGCCTGTCTGTTATGAGTGTTCAAAGGCTAAAAGTTGATTGGTTTATTTTCTGTTCGATTAATGACTAATTTGTGAAAATACTGGTCTATTGTAAAAAATATATTGTCACAGCATTGTTAATAGTAACCAATAGATGTTGATATAAGTCATAATTTAGGTGATTGTTTGTTAAATATGTGTGTAACAAGTCTACACCATCAGTGCTACATCTCTCCGACAGTACATTGGCAAACTAGACCAAATGATTCTCCCTGGTAAAAGGGAAGCGTATGTGTTTTGGTGCAGCACAGTATCAGTGGAATGATAAGACTTCTTCAGTGATAACTTATCGAGCACGACACAAGACAATTATGACGTAATCTGGAAAGATTTAAAGGTCAGGCACACGGTCTTCCCTGTGCTTTGGACTGATCCCTGCAACCTCCGTCATTATCTGTTGCAAAAGCAATACATCAGATAAAGAGTCTCATCGCCAAGAAATGTATTCGTCATAGTGACTGGTTCAATCTATTTCTACGTCTGGAGACAGCTTTAAGCGCAGAAGTTGTGCAGCTAATTTTTAAATAATAGTTTTCTAAAACATAATAAGATAAAAGTCAGGCAATAGTTAAGAAGCTATGCAGACATCAGGCTAACTTGTAGCATTTCTAGAAACTAGCTCAAGGCTACGGCAACTGGCAGGACAGAATGTCTGAGATTAAAAACAGTTTCTTTTGTTTTCATTTTGAATCACAGTCTCAGCTTTGAGATCAAGGCTGGAAGATTTTGGTCCTTGGCAGTAGAAATGCAAGTTGTTTGCACCTTAGTTGAAAGACTTCCTCACTGATTATATCAAAACCTATCCTGAAAAATATCAAGTATAAAGGCTAAATGACTCTTTTCTTATATTTTTGCACTTTACCCATTGCCTCGGTCCACCTCCTATTAGCTTCATATAAGTGATATTTCTCACTTTTTAACTTTCTTCTTCGTAAATCCCTATAAACCTTTAGATATCATCAGAAACGTATTGGCACATATAAATAAAAAAGTATGATTTTTTTTATATATATAAAAGCCTGGATAAGTTCATATCCCAGTTATCAGAACCCCTCATAAGGATTATGGCTGCACACTCATGTAAACACGCTGGTTGTGTCCGGGGACGTCTAATAGTTCACGGGCTCTGAGACTGAGCGGTGGCTGGTGGAGCAGTGTCCCGCCCTGAAGACGACAAGAAAGAACAGAAAGACAGAAAACTCAGTGAAATGGAGTTCAGCGTTCTCACAGTATTAAATGATTTTTGATGAATAATAACCTTCACAAAATAATATTCCCAGTAGATGGTGCCATGAATTAAAGGATATTCTTATATTTATTAGGAACGTATTACGAATAGTGTCGCATAGCACACTGTTTGTCGAGATTCCTCAAGGTGAAAGAAATTAAAAAATGTTTCTTGTGTCATTGATATAGAAAGATATTTTGTCCAGACCAAAAATATATTTTTAGCAAGTCTTTGATTAGCTTACTTTTTGTCATTTTTTTCTCCTGCTGCGTATCTATGTTTCCTGTATTGCCATCTTACACATTATTAATCGATTGGTTGAAATAACTTTTCCAGAGCTGTAGTTTCTATCAATTCAAATTACATATTTTTTCATAAATTTTCTTAAGAAATAATTGTATTCAGTTACATTTTATGTGTCTTTGCTAAGTATGTTTATGTCTTGCTACATTACAAGTCACATCTATGAAGCTAATAGGGTTATTTTCATTGAATATTCATATAGAAGTTTTGTATAAAAAGATAAATGTAAGTCATTATACATTAAAACAATAAAATAAGCTTCTTCATGAATTGTGCTAGCTAATATACCTGCTAATCTAGCTAGCTAGCTGGATAGTTCACTACATTTACACTTTTTAACCAAAAACTGACATGACACCAAAATTTTTAGGGCACTTAAAATGCTGTAGTCCTTGTGGTAAGTGTTTTTGCCTCAAGGTGGCACTATTTAACTCGACAAGGACTCAAATCATATTGATTAGCTTTGATGCAGCCGTTATTTTCGAAAATGAACGACCTCAATGTGTTTTTTTACATTTACTTTCACTTTGTACACCAATAACTTTACTTTTTCTTTCTCAGTTACCTGCAGAGTCCTGTGGAGCATTCGTAGTTGTTTTGGCAGTAAGCTCCGAATGGTTTACTGTTCATGATTCTCCACAGCGGGGTCATCCGAGCTATCCTCCTCAGTGTGTGGACTCTGTGTTCCCCCCTCAAATCCGCACTCTGGTCAGAGCCGGACTGCACCTGAGGGGCCAACGGACCCGCACACACCTGACAGAAAGGTACAGAGATGTGTATTAGAAAAAGAAACAAGTACAAAACAAGGCACACAGCATAATTGGCATTGATTTATTACGATAATTCTCCATTATTCAACTCTAAAGTATCCCTATGGGACACATGAGTGCATGCTGAATCAAAGTGGTAAGATGATACTTTACCTAATGTGCTGATTTGGAGGCACATTAGGCAAAGACATTTTGAAATGATTTAGCAGTGCACCGACTGGATGCACAGCTGGTAAAACATGCACAACAAAAATCAGCTCCTCTGACAAAATTATTTCAACCCAACGTCCACTTTACTTTTTCTGGGGCCAAATCCATCATTTGTATATCCATCCTTCCTCTGATTCAAGATCTTCAAGTCAAGACAGTCCACTCACCTGCTGAGCCAGCATTAACAGCACAATGCACAGTGCTACTGCCGCTTTCCTTTGGGCGAAAGAGTGTTTCTCCTGCATCTTTCCGGTGGAGTTTAATACCCTCAGGTGTTTGGGGATGAGACTCTCTTCCTCTTAGTGACCTGCTGCTGCTCAGCCTTGAGTAAATCTGACCTCGACCTGGCCGATTCTCTGATCTCCGGCACTTTAGAAACCTCTTTGGGACTCAACCAGTCCAAGGAGTGAGTCTTTTTTTTTTTTTGTAAGTGGTTGTTTCACTAGTTTAACGCTGTAAGTCTCTTCAAGTCAGCCTGACTCAGCAAACTCTGTGGCTGTGGCACCGGCAAAGAAGGCTGGGCTGTCCTTTATATAGACAGGCCATGATCCCAGGAGTGAAAGAGCGAGAGGGAGGGAGAGAGAGAGAGAGAAAGAAGGAGTCACAGTCCACGCTGTGTCGTCCACCCCTCGCTCCCTCTCTCTCTCTCCCTCTTTATCTCTTTTTTTGGCCCAAATGTGACAGTATGTGTTTGCAGAAAACCATCAAGTCATTCCTCTAAACGAGGCCATCCAAACCTCCTCTCTGTCACGCACACACAGAAACACACGCTTTCTCTTTCTCCTCTTCTTCTTTTACATATGTACGAAAAGGTAACGTGAGCACAGGTGGACCAGACACAGCACACGTGACCGCAACGTAAAGCGATGGCAACAGAGACACTCAGCTGAGTTTAAAGGGGTTTAAAGAGGCAAAGAGTTCACTGAATGTGTGTGTGTGTGTGTGTGTGTGTGTGTGTGTGTGTGTGTGCGTGTGCATGTTTCCATTTCATTGCCACAGTGTGTGTGAATGAACTTGCAGTAAGATAAGGCTTTTATCAATCTGCAGTCTCAATCTGTGTGCTGCAATATATCTTTGACTGACCTGACTCAATCGCACAGTCCCCCTTATACAATGCAGACGACAGGCATGTATGAGCGCATCAGGTGTGGTTTACATAAGCAGGTGCAAAGTGCACCGGACCCCAGCACGTGACTCGTGTGTGTGTGTCAATATGTGTGCTCCATATATTTAAATAAAAGGCTGCAGATGTACCTGAAGTCAGGACTCATCTGGTGAATTTTTAAAGACAAACTGAAATTAAAATTAATTCAATGTTGGGAATATCTCGATGGTAAAATGTTTGTCCAGGACGAAACCAACGTTTCAATCCAATGTTTTGTGCCACTTGCTCAAATTTCTGCAGCTATAAGAGCAGTGGAGAAGAGAAGGAGTGGAAATGTCCGTTTTAAATGTCGGTTTTAGCCTCAGGAAAAACTTCTTATATTTACATAGGGAATGCTGTGTGACCGAATTACAGGGTAACATGGAGGATGAGTTTTGAGAGTCCGGTCATTTGCCATCACCACATCATGGAAACGTGCGAGTGAGACAGCTAACGTTAGCTACACCGCCTCCTTCCTGTAATGGACTGGGCTGAACATACTAAAACACTTTGTATTTGCTACCTGATGGACTATTTACACTACAACCTTTTATTTATGTTTCTAAATTGTAAAGATCATACTGAAACCACCTCCTCGTTCACTCAGTCACTGCACTACTAAGTAACAGAAACTCACTTTTTTCACTTTTTATAAAATGTGGAGCATTGCATCGTGGGATTGACACTCAAACAGAATGGTGGACAGTATATTTATTAAGAAATAGATTAAGAAATCCTACATCTTAGTCTAAAAAAAATCCCTCTAAAAACCCACTAAATATATTTATATAAAGAAAATCTAATATAATCTATTTATAATCTATTGTACTAAGTATAACTTACTCCTCTACACCGGTCTGGTTGCAGAGCACAGAGCTGCACCCGGGGACCAAGTCCAGTCCTGAGGCCAGGCTTTATTTGAGGTCAGTGGCAGACGTACTCCTAGTCTTGACTACAAAGAGTCAATAGGGTGTGACAGTTGCTAATTATACACGTGAGCCACCAGCGGCACTTTCTTTAGCTTTCATCGCTGGTCAAGTGGGTTATTGACACAAAGGTGAGCGCACCTACATGCTGACAGGACATGTGCATTTCATGGTACGTAACCTTTTGTCTCTCATCAGGCAAGAAGTCGTCAAATGTGCCTGCTTATAAGAGATCTTTCTGTCCATAGCTAAAAGCCACAGTCATACCACGGCAACAATAATATTCCCTTAGTCATGTTTTATCCAAGTTACTTTATTTAGATTTTCCAGGGCAAATCAGGTCAGCCTGGAAGAGACAAGGATGTTTTCATCCAAAGGGAGACTCGTCCAAGACAGAGACGCTGGATGTTGCGTTAAAGACAGAGAGGAAAAGTACAGTTGATTTAATCCAGGATCGCAGAGGATCGTGGATGGATGTTACGGAAAAATTCCTGCGCTGATTCCTGATTCCTGTAAGGGTTTTTTCATCCCTGAGAGGCCCCCAGAGGAGCAGGAGACTGACAGGAATCCCGCGCTACATCCACTCAGAACATCTGCATCACACATTATCGCCAAAGCGTGAGTCATCAGATTGAGCCTGACGGGCCGAGCAGCTGCAGAGTGAAACTGCAGAGGCTGAGACGGAGAGAGTCAAGACATGAAAGTTTTCCCTGCTTGATGTGCGGCTGTCGTTCTGTGCTAACGGAGGACAGACGCAAAGTGTGCAACTTATGCAAAGGAGAGAGTGCAAAAGTACATATATCAGTAATGAAAATTTTAATTTTAACCCTCATTTATTTACCTCATTCTTCAACAATTCTTTCTTTTCTTGATTTTTGATCGACACTAATCTTTCTTATTGCTTTATTTATTTATTGCCTTGATCCCAATCCGATCCCAATCTATCCAAAAAAAAGGTAAAAGAAAAACATTTGGATAATCAGTATAATTTAGTTGCAGGTTAGATGCACGGCATGACCGATTACCATGGTAACAGCTTTAAATCTGTATGTGTAATACAAAACTCAGCTGCATTTCCTGTTCTTCATCAGTTACGTCAAAGTCCTTGAAACATATAGATAAAATCGTCCCTCACAGACAGCTAAACGTTGAACTTTAATTACCTTGAATTATAACTGGACCAGGTGATAGTGGACTTTGACCATTGCTGCCACAGTAACTCTAATTTCCAGTGTGGCCACAGATGTTTTCTTGTGGTGAAGAATCAGAACACACACTAACCATGATTCGAGGCTTTCCTTATCTTGCTTGAACTGCTTTCACATCATGTTTTTATTGTTTTTAGACGTTTATGTCAAACAATCTTTCAGTGAAGTACAGTTTGTAACTTGGAGCATTTTCCAAGGATAGAAATTACTTAGATAAACTGCACATTTTCCTGAATTAACATGCAGAAAGTTTCTTATTTGAGCTTTAATCACAAAGCTCATTAACAAAAAACATTAACATTTCATAAATAGTTTTGTGATTTTTTTCCTCTTATGTGATGTCCATTATAATACATTATAATGTATGTTTTATGTTTCCTGTGGGGTTAGGAAGGATTTCAGTAAGCTGCTAAATGCTGACGGTGCAGCCTCTGTGGACTGACTATGCCAGTTTCCTTTCTAGCGCAGTCCACCTACAATGAAAAAGAAAAAAAACGGTCTGCCCACCCTGTCATATCTGAACTTTAAACTTTGATTACCATGAAGAATAATTCCCTTGGACAAACGGATCGAAGGAGAGTTGCAGACATGACCTCATCTGACCAGTTTTATAAGTACTCATGCGGACTGTGCAGGCTGATGTTCACAGAAATGTGTTACCAAGAAACCCCTATAAATGTGGACAGGCCTTGAATCAAAGCCAACAACTCTCTGATAGTGGATGTGGTGACAGTTCATCTCTGGCAGTGCTCGTCTCTTATCTCTCTCATTTAAAGTAACCGAAAGTTATATACAATTTAGCTGAAACATATAGATTTTCAATCATTTCTACCAGGAAAAAGGTACATTTAACGTATTGTTGCACAGGCTTAGATCAGTAATATATTTTAAATTAAATTGCAATTGTGATTATAGAGCAGTCTTAAAAGGATTTGAAGTACAAGCATTTCAGGAAGGCTAAATTGCTCTGGAAACACAAATTTCATACGATGAATTAAACTTTTGCAGGTGGTGTAAAAGAAGTCAGTTTAGACCTGGTCACAACTGAAAGTGACAAAGTTCAACTGCACGTCCTTGATAAATAGTTGGTGAGCTATGCTAAATGCCAAGCTAACTGCTAACGCTAGCTAATGCAAGCTAGCCAGGAATTTGACAGCACTAGTTAGCTTGCTAACAGCCACACTAGCTAGCTTGACTGTTCACTGAACAGTTATTTATTTTTTTAAGTTTATCAAGCTTATTTATGAAATATATTTGAAGAATTTACTCCAATAAATGTTGGTATATCATACCTTTTTGTCAAATCAATGGATGGACTACCGAATGGCCTGTTAAAAGAGTACTCCCCTGATTTAGCACTGCATTTCTATAACATTGTCAACTCATTTTTAATCGATGCAGCAGAAAAAGAGATATTGTCTTTGTTATCAGGAATATTTATTTAATTTAGCTGAATTAAACAGTGTTAGGAGGTGCGCCTGTTTTGATGCACAACTGATCTTCATCTCTGCTAATCTCTGCTTTGCCACCGGAGCAGCTGTTTAGTTTAGTTTCTTTTTTCCCAGCTTTTCTTTTTACATATTTGTATTTCCAGCTGCTTCTCATTAACATGCTGCATTAGCTGACTGATGACTCAGATGTTTTGTTGACTGTTCTGTTTTTGTGTGATCTGGCAAATCGCTGCATTGATTACAGGTTCATTTGGTTCATGATGCAAAAGGACAACTCTTGTCTGCGCATTCAGAGAATCACAAACTTTATAAATGTGTAAACTGAGGCTTCATTTGGCCTGGATTCATTGGTGATTCCCCTTCAAACACCACAAGGTGATAGCGTTAGCATGCTACCATTTTACGTAAAAGGCTAACATGTTAAATGTTGCATACTACAAGATGCAGTGATGTTACCGTGATAGCTTTCATTCTAAATGTCACATGCTAAAAATTGTTTAACAATAATGAAATAATCAACAACAATTAAAAGCTGGAGCTTCTCAAATGTGAGGATTTGCTGCTTGTTTCACTAATTCCAGGCACTGTGTATGAAAGCAATGACACACAGCATACAGTAAATGCAAACGCTGATGTCTGTACGACTGTGGCTGACTCATTTCATCACTCCGTCACTTTAAAAACACACACACACATGACAACTAGCACACACACACACACACACACACACACACACACACACACACACACACACACACACACACACACACACACTTTCTTGAAGCCAAACAAAGTCTGGTAGACATGTTCATCCATAATGTTTTCTGTCTGATGTGATTAGTGACAGTTCACTTGTTCTCTGTCTTGCACCGCTGAGTGGGACATTTACGGGAATCTGCCTTTGGCAAAATTTGCCTCTGTGTGTGTGTGTGTGTGTGTGATTTCAGAACATTACAACATCTGTCACAGGAGATTAGGATGAGAGGGACAAAACAACACACACACACACACACACACACACACACACACACACACACACACACAATATCCCTGGAGGAAATAGACGAGGAGGTCCCGTAAAACTGAGGCTTTCCAGTCACCCTGTAATTAAATGTTTATGTAACAGACCAACCCTGCAGATCCTCAGGCAAAATAAGAACAAGATACATGACTATGTCCGACTTTTAACTTTTTATTTCTTCTTTTTCTTTTCATAGAATATTCTTTTACCGCAATTCCAGTGATATATTTGATCTTTTTCATGTTTATTTTCATCTGATTTTAAGCCACAGGAGCCATGTTTTGTTCAGTATCCTTTTATTGTTCTAAAAATAAGCTTAAGTTTAATTGAAATACCTCAGCTGTAATTTTTAATTTTCATTGCTCCTCTTCTTTGCATACATTTACATAACTTCTAGTAAACATCAGATAGATTGTCTTTACGTCCCTGTGCTTCCACCATGAAATTGGCTAGATCAAACCATATTACTGCCTAAAATCATTAAAAAAAATACTTTAGTGGTAATACTCTTCTGTGTTTAGATTTTGTGACTCAAAACAAGCCAAAAGTCTTCGGGTGTGATAACATTTTCTCTTTTAAATCCTCACTGGAAAGCCAAAAATCTCTGCGTGTGCCAAAGTAATCACTGTCTGAGTCACATTACCATTGATCAACAACATTGGAAAGATATTAGTAAAACTCTTTCCCATTAAGGTGTTGTTGCTCTACTGTGTGTTGCTATATATATATATATATATATGTGGAGAAACACATGTTATTATCTAAGTTACATCACAGTTCACTGTAACCTCTACCTGAGAGTCTGTCTGGTAATATGTAGGAAAAAAAACTGAACTAAATATTAGAAATAGACAGAAAAGATAGATTAAGAAAAGAGTAAACAAATGTATATATGTTTCACAGTGCCACATACAGTAGGTTTGCGGTTTATCACGATTTACATGCTTGTTTTCAGTCTCTATATCTGCATGAGCGTGTGTATTGGTTGCGTGTTTATGCACACGTGTGTTTCTGCTTCAATCAGTCCACATAGATATCCATGTTGAGGGTGGGTGTGTGTGGGTAAACAGTGATGGAGGAACTGCTTCTCTTTGACCCACTTACAGTACCTGATTGATACAGAGCAAAGTGCACCTCTTAACCCAGTGACACTGACCTTCATCTGCACAATTTACAGTAACATTAAAGGACCCTGAACACGTGGAACAAAATCCATTTATAAACTGCTTATTATGGTAGAACCATTTATGAACTTGTACATAGGCTATGACTGGCTGTTTTTATTCCACTAATGACACTTTCACTTCACTTTGCCCTATTTTAATAAAATATTCAAGTAATAACACATCTGTGTGTTTCTATTCAAGGCTGGTTTATTCATAAAGCACCACTCAGACACAGGATCATTCACAGTGCTTTACAGAGGCAAACGAAAGCAAAAATGAAAATAAATACTCAAACATGTGCAAAGAAGTACAATGTGAAATTACAGGGCTCTAAATTCAGAGCTCTAAAAGGAGGAAATGTGGTTGTTTCTTCTCCTTTCTGTGTCAAGAAGTTGTTTTTTCAACCTTTCCTGGCTGGTTCAATAAGTAGAAACAACATAAGTTATCTATATATGTCAGAGGGCCTGCTTCGATTGTTTACATCCAGTTTGACCTTTTTTCCTTGATGTGAATTTCACATGACCTTCCTCAAAGACTTCTGATTGTGAGGTCAGGGTGAAGTAAGGGGCAAACAGAAAAAATGGTTTATGAAACTTGCAATGCAGAGTTCAGACAGATCCCTGAATGCATACCAGATAGAAAATACACAATAAATACACATTATATATTGGAAAAATTAATCTTAAAATAGAGACAGTGTTTCAATTGGTCAAACATCTATTTATTTTTCTTAAGAAGAAAACCGGTGACAAAACAAACCAGATTTGTCTTCTGCTGATGGAAACGTTATGCACCATTTTAGTGAACAGTGCCATCTTGTGGATGTTTTGCATTAATGCATTTCCTGAGATTTCTGTGTCGTGCTGTAAATTAAGTTAAGTAAAGGGATGTCTTTACAATTTGTAAAAGATGCTGTAACAAAATGAATGAATGAGATGAAATAAATGATTTTTTTTGAGATTGTGAATTACAAAGAAGTATGAACATACAAGGAAGTATGAACATACTTCCTTGTACTTTTATATACTTTTGTTTTCTCTTACAGGGATTATGATCCACTGCTTCTCTGTTGGGACCAAGCTGTGAAAGTTTTTCGCAATAGCAAATAAGTCAGTTTCCTAAATGTTGAATTTCTCCTTTAAACTTCTGTTCAGTAGCAGTTCTGGAGTTTTCGATCATAGAACATGGTCTTCTTAGCTCCCTAGCTTGTCTACCGTGACTTAAACCGTTTAATCTCGACTTTGGAAAAAAAACAAAAACTAGTTTTTAAACAAAATCATCAAAAAAGACAATAAATGAGGTTTTAGAAAACATGCATTTTATTTTATTCTTCATCGTCACTCGTAATAAAAATTGCATTCTTTTCCACTCCACTCAACAATTCTGTTTTCTTTAACATACAACACTTGTGTATCTTCATAATCCCTTCATTTTGTTTTGTTTTTTTATATAAGACAGGCCAGTGGCAGCCCTTTCTTTTTATTATAAATATTTACAAAATGCAAAAGTTCAGACTGTAAACAGCAAAACTGTCACATCATACGACCTTTACAGTTACATCCAACATGGTCGATAAAAAAAAAAGAAAAAGAAAAAAAAAAGAAAAAAGAAAGAACGAATATACAGACAGACAGAAGGAAGAAAATATTCATCAGATGACTGTGGTTTGAGGTTCAAAAACACAAATCAACCAGTGCTTAATCCTAAAGTTATCAGTTTTCTTAAAAGGTTCCCATGATGTTTAGTCAAGTTTATGAAGCTACTGCAGAAGTTTAGTTTGAGTTCCCCCGGAGTTTACTTTTAGCTTAGTTTAATCAAATTACTACTTACATCAAGTTGGTTATGCTGCTCTCAAGTGTCGTAAAATGCTTCCAAAATTACCTGCAACCTTTTATAGTGACTATGAATACAGCAATCAGCACATTCACCTTTCCACCAGATTAGAGTCACAGTATAATAATGCCACAATAATTCAGAATATCAGGACGTAGGGACTCCCCTCCCAGCTGCACGGCCCATGGTTCACATTCGGCAGCTGCCTTTTAAAGTGCTTTAACAGGGATGGTGACGATCTGAAACCACAACAACTTCCTCCTTCCAGTCTCAAGCTCATTGTGGTTAGCCGCCAAGCTGTAGATCAAACAAATGACCCATCATATCCACCCCCTTTTTAAGTCTCTTTTCTCAGTTCTTCCGCTCCTGAGTCTTTAGCGACACGTGCACGACTCGGCCACCATGTCCTCCAGCTCCCTGTAGTCCACCTTATTCTTGTGCACAACCAGCACGCTCATGGGCATGTACTTGTAAGGCACGCAGGACGGAGGAGGGACGTCCCCGACGCCCAGGTCGTTGATGACGGTCTGGATGATGGCGTGGTTGGGGGAGTGGTAGCCGTAGTGGAGCAACCTCGGGCAGTCGCCCTGACAGAAGCGAGGGTTGTACACCGGCGGGGCGATGAAGTGACCCCAGCCGAGCTCGTCGAAGGAGAGGCGGAAGGAGTGGAGCTTGCAGCGGTTCTTGGGCACGCTGGTTTTGCGTTTGTAGTTGGGGATCTCGGAGATGATGGAGGCGGAGGGGGAGGTGGAGAAAGAGGAGGAGGAAGTAGGTGCGTTTTTCAGGGCGTCCAGTGAAGGATCTTTCGCCTCTGAAGAGTCTTTGGAGCGACGGCGCCGGCGAAGCGAAGGGTGCCACTGCCCTATTCGCCTTATGATGTTCTCCCCTTCACCCCCCAACAACTCCCCCATCCAGTCCTTCACTTCCCTCTCCTCCTCCAGGTACAGAAGAAGGGACGGGACTTCGAGGTGAGGTTCCTCTCTCGGTCTTCCTCTACGACGAGTCTGCCACCAGAGGCTGCCGTCCTCTTCAGCAAGCCCAGGTTCTGTGCACCGGTACTGGGCAGTGAGGATCAAGTGTCCCCCCTTGCCCCGGTCCTTCCTCTGTAGGACGTGCCCGGTGACGTGTGCCGTGATGTCCGTCTCCGTCCACCGCTCGTGGGGCTCCAGAGTGACCAGGCTCTCCGGTCCCAGTGAGGTGATCTGAGCTCTGCAGCGGGGCGGCTCAAGGGCCTGAGTGGTGCTTGAAGTTGTGGTTGAGGAAGAGGAAGGAGAGGATGAAGAGCGGAGATGGATGAAAGAGGCTTTGATGAGCTGCTCCGAGGGAAGAGTGTCAAGGTTGTACTGTACTGTGAAGGTGTAGTGGGAGTCTGGAAGAGAGATGCCCATAATTAATGACTGACACACTCAGTCCCTCTCAATACAATTTTGGTGAAAAGATGTAATTATATATAAATAAATAAACGTTTTAAAAACAAAATGATCTCCAAAAAACATTTAAAAAAATGTTTTAAAACTAAATCTTTTCTTGTATTAATGCCCATCACTGCGATACGCCAATGGTAGAAACTTATGCTGTCGCCTCTGGACCACATTGTAACCAACGGAAAAACTGGAGTATCAAAATAGATAGCTGATTAGCAACAGCAAGAATTAAAAAGAAAGAGGGTCCTCTGCTTTCACTTCAATCATTATCATTAAAGTAAAAAGTGCTCTGAGAAGGCATTATTTGGCCTCCGTATTGTTATGAAGTTGGATGTGGGCCGCAGACATTTTTGAGATTTTCAAGTGGGCCAGGAGTTGGAAAAGGTTGGGAACCACTGGACTAGATGCCTCATTACACTGAAACATGAAACAAGAGCTAGAAAAAATGAATTTGCAAGAAATCAAGGTTAATTCAGACAAGTCTGTGCCATCGTTAGCCGATAACGTAAAGTATTCTCAGCTTTCGTGTGAACTATCATGCCAGATTTGGTGTCATTCTTTAAAAAGATCACCATTTTTTGAACCTAATCTATTTATGCAATGTCCTGTTCATCTAAACTGTGTCAGAAAATGCAAGCGAATAGTGGTACGGATGATCGGAGCCCTCACATGGTTATGGAAGACACACAGAAAGCTAAAACAATCAGCAGTCCAACTATTGTATTGGATGGCTGCCATTTTTTTTTTGGTGGTGGGAGGGTTTAAAACAATATAATAAGTAGCACAGGGAAATAAAAAAAAGTCTCATGAAATGTGTTTGGAATCAGTGTATGAAACATAATAAGTTAATAGAGCATTTTTGGACACGAGCTGGCAGTTTACCGACATGTATAAAAAGTTATCCCTCTGCCAAAATAAAACACTTCCGGTCATAAAACGCTGAACCACCTGTTGCAGAGTCGGACCCAGTGGCTGGGTTGTGATTGCCTCTGGAAAATAGATTAGACCCAGATCTTTAGGAGATTAGTAAACTGGCTCTTTCACCTCTCGACGCTGGCAAGTAGTGCACCGTAGACGCCGTGGGTCTCAGCAGTCGGACCGTGTTGGAGCCGAACTTCCGGTGCTGTTTAGGCCTGCCGTCCGGTCCAGCCGCGCTCCGGTACAAACTCAACATGAACTGCACGTTCTGGTCCGCTTCCTGCTCGTGCGTCAGAGGCCGGTGATGCGCGCCAGAGAGCTCGGAGGCCATTTTTTGCCCGGTGCAGGTAAAAGTCAACAGGAGGATGAAATAGGACAGGACGCAGACACGCAGCGCCCTCATGTTGGTTATAAATCCTCTGGTGCTAGCGAGCTCCACCAACGAGGCTATGACTGGCAACCATCCTCAGCACGGCCGAGGGCGGGATTTACAGGCTCACCTGTTCACCTGCCATTTTGGTCACGACAATCAACTTCCTGAAATTGACGGTGACCCCAATTAACCCTTCGGATATGCATGAGCCGCCCACAGGACCGCGAGGAAGCCACTGGATTGGGTCGGTAAAGGTGCTCAAATGTACATTGAGGCAAATGTGAATTTTACATGCACTTAATATACATTCTGATATTTGATTAATGTGTTCTTTGCTGTTATCCTCTGTATCCTACTTTACAGAAACAATATATATTTTTTTTGCATCCATAGTTTCCAGGTTAACTTTGCACAGTGTGTGTTAATTTTAAGACAGCCAGGATAATTAATAATTAATAAAAATCCAGGTTTAATTCAGGAAAAGCAAAATGTGTCACTCTGTTTTACTAAATCAAGCTGATACTCGGATTGTAACTGTAAATTAAAACACATAATTTGATGAGATGAGTTACTATATACCCCAAAGGTTTCTTTTTGATAAATTATTTGTGCTTAAATATACCTTTATTCTTTAATTCAGCATCATTTTAAATAATTCAAACGTTGCTAACAAGTCAGATTTTTTTTCTATCCAAACTGAAACAAGAAAAAATGTTCTTGTTTTTTGCATTTTTTTCTTTAATTTGACCAATAATCACCTGTAAAGGTAAAGGTTTGAATGGATTTTGATACAATGGTTGAAGTGTCTCCTTGTTTGTAAATTTATTGCTCAATAAATCACACACACACACACAAAAAAGGTCTTTTGCATGGATGTAGTATGAGACCTTAAGATTAAGTGGTTTTATTATAAGTCTGTTGTTGATCGCATCAGCGCCATCAGGTGGTAGAATGACACCACTGCACCAGTTTCCACAAGGATCGTTTCATTTTTCTGCAAATAAAAAACTTACTCCATCAGAATGAATTAAAAAAATATTGTATACATAGTTGCTTTGAGGAAAAGTGACATGTGCTGATTCCTTGGGGTACCCCTTCAAAAATAACTACAACATGCTTCAAGTTTCAGCAATGGGAGTAATTTGTGACTTGCTCTGTTGGTCTTTGGTTTCATCTTGCATCTTTTTTTGCACTGTGGTGTAGATTTTATATTTAGACAACTCCCAAACTCTGGCTATTTCTGAAGAGTCTGATTGCAGTGTTTTCATATGCTGTTTGTTTGTACTTGGATAATTTGAAGCCTTTGGGATCACTGAACTTCTGTTGAATGAATTGTTCTCAACAGGGACGAGTTGAACGAACGACATCCTGAAAACATAAAGCCTCCGGCCACGGGTGTCACCGGTGGCGTGGAGGAACGGTCGTCTGATCTGACCAAAACAACCTCCTCGTGGTCTGGATGAAAGGTGAGATGTCTGGACATGTTCACATCTGTCTCCCTTTCTCTTTTGATTCTCTCTATCTGCCTCTCTTTACTTGTTCTTTCTCTCCACACATGCAAAGATAGCCACTCGTTCACACACACACACACACTCAAATAAGTGCCACTGCAGTGTGGTGGCATTCCACAACAGTGATTATCTCCAATCCCGATCTTCCCAGTCTGCAGAGGGACTGTGGGAAAACTACAAAGGAGACAGACAGAAAATGGCCATAAGAGCTGCTGAGGCTGAAACACATTTAAATGTTTATTCCAGACACAAATTCACCAATAAAGGCAGAAGTGACTGTTTCAGTTTCAACTTTAAAAACCAGAAATTGTGTAGAAAGCTCCACTTTTGAGATTTGGACTGATGATGTGCGTATTATTTACACTGTAATGCAGCTTTAATAGCTACCCAGGGAAGTTTATGTACAAAACAGAAACCATTTTGAAGATGTTACATATTTGTTTATAGGGAAAATCAACCATTTAAAACCAACTTTGCTTGAAGACTGCATCTTTTTAAATGACTAGTTCAACATTTTGAGAAACAGTAGCTACTTTATTTCAGAGAGGAGATGAGAACATTGATATCAGTCATGTCTGTATGTTAATGGTGCAGTCAAACAAGGAAATGAAGAGCAGGAAAACCTCCTGTTATTCTGACTTGGGATTGTCCAAGTATCATTACAGTGGCTACAATGGCTGCTAGCCTTGTGGTCACACCATTTAAATGGCCTAAAATAGCTTCTTTTTTTTTTTGCAGTGTACGGAGGGGTTCATTTACAAGTGAAACTAAATACAGTAAAGATAAACTCAGTTCAAATGATCTAAATCAACAGTATGAGTTGTTAATTTAGGATTTTATTTTGATGCAACTGCCAGCAATGTTGGTTTTGCAGCCGTTTTTCCAGCAGTTTTGGTGACACAGTTTCCTGTATTTGTTTTCACCACTTGGGAAATATCTTTGCTGATAGAAATTTTCCATATCAATGACTCTGAATTACAACTCGGAGGCTCAGCTCATTAGCTTTGTTGTTGTTTTCCTCCATAAGTCTTTATGGTAGGCTAGGCTAACGAGGTAGGGACCCCGAACTTAACACACAGACATGAGAGTGGTATCGATTTTATCATCTCACTCTGGAAAAGAAAGTAAAAAAGTCGAGTAGCTTTCAACCCCACCATATGGTCCTCATTGGTGAATGGAGATGTTTAGTTGCCGTGTTAATAAATGTTTGAAAAGCACCAGATGAAGATATAAAGATATTGATTCATTAATCCTGGCTGCTTAGACATTGTTTACTCCATCATGGGTGTTTAGCAGTGGATTTCAAATGAAACTCACGTACAGGGTCATGAAGCAGTTAAATAGTGACACCCTAACATCTATCATCTCAGCAAGCTCCATTAAGGAACTCAATAACTTATCAAAACATAATTATTGATAATAAATTGTTGCAAGAGAGCTTAAATAAACTTGCGCAAATTGTATAACTATAGCTTATTATCACTGGAGTGGGAAATTAACAAAAATAGCAGTAAGTTTGTCTTATGTAACTTTTGAGAGCTTGTAATTGCTTGTTTAAATGAGTCTTAATATGGTGGTTAGACAAGCAGACTGGTATGATTGGTAAGGCTTCAGAAATGTGTGGGACGTGATACCAAATGTTGTTGTTGGCCCGGGGGCTCGTGTACTGTAGGTGCTCATGCTGCAGTTCTGCAAAATCTCAGTGTGGATGGATGAGGGCTTTGACAATCTTTGCTTTCACATACAAAATGAGAGTTACAGCAGTTTGAGGACAGAATGATAAAGTCTTTGCGCTTTGTAATAGTCCTAATTCAGTTGTGAGCAATTCACAGATTGACTGAGAAAGACCAGGGATGTTTGTGATTGTAATTCTAGTGGAAAGAAAGTAATGAACTTTTCAAAAATCAAGTTAAGTGCTTCACACAGAACAGTACATCAAAAACTAAATCACGTTATAGCTTGCTACAGTGCAGCAGGGCAGCAAAATGAACCAAAATCATAAGATACAATTAGATATGGACGATTAGATATGGAGATGAAAGCTAAGCTATAATTTTGAGTTGGTCATCAGTGCTTAAAATGAACTGATGCTGTGTTTCTGGCTCTATTTGCCGCCGTGAGCCAACCTGATGTTATTACAATACCGCGGTTGTTGCCCTGGCAGCCCCTCCCCTAAACGTCGCTTATTGGATACTCGCATGCAGAATCTCTCTGCTTATTGGTAGACCTTTCTGTCAATCACATCCCGCTGTTCGAATAGTGGGAGGGGCCTGCCTACCTCTCCTTGGGAAAAGTTTTCCCAAAGTTTGCAGCTACGTCAATTTAGCGACTGTAACACCGGAAACATTTGATGTAGGCGTCAAAATAAAAAGCGTTAAACTTTCTTCTTTTGGGGAAATAAGCGGGTCAGTAGCTAGAGATATTAAACGAAACAACCGGTAGATTTACGTGATTAAAATACAGAGCGAGATTGAAACCGTAAAACATGCTAACGTCTACTTTTCCTTAACGGTTAAACTCCTTGACCGGAAGTTTAAAACGAAAAGTTGGCCATAACTTCGACGAGCTTGACGCTGGCCAAAACTTTTTGCCCTCCCCCTCTTCCACTCACTCCCTCCGTCCTTCCACTCATCCATCCATCCGTTCGTTGTTGTCGTTACAGCGGTGATGGAGAAGCCAAGGGACCGCTACCGGCGCCGCTAAGCTAGCAACATCTCAGCCCGGCTAATACACCGAGAGGAAGAAAAATAGAGAGAGGGAGAAGGGAAGAAGAAGAAAAATAACGGATAACGGACCGGAGACAGAGGATGGAAACGGTTGAGCAGCTCGTCTCTTTCCACCACATTCAGGTCCAGTTGAGCGGGGGCGCGCCTTGGGGGTTCACGCTGAAAGGAGGACTGGAGCACGGCGAGCCGCTCATCATCACTAAAGTAAGTTGACCATAACTGTTGACGCTATTTTCATTGATATAAATGTGAAAAATCTCAATTTACAAGCCTGTGCAGTATAAATAAGTACATTTATGAAGTACTCTACTTATTTTAGATACTTTATTCTTGTTTTTAACGACATTTTAGAGGGAAATATTGTACTTTTTACTTCATCCCATTTACTTTACTGCCTTAATTACTTTATAAATATAAGATTCATGCATACCACACATATGAAGAGTAGAGCTGTACCTAACGATTATTTTAAAATGAGGGTACAAAATGGAAAATGCTTGTGTCAAATTATATTGTTTTGACTGTCCAAAATCCAAAGATATTCAGTTTACTTTCATGTGTGACAAAGAAATGCATCATTACATTGACATTTTTTATTCGATCATCAAAATAGTTGCTGATTAATGTTCTGTCCATCAATTAATCGACTAATCCTTGTAGCTCCACCAAGAACTGAAATGATTAGTCCACTGACAGAAAATCAATTGGCAATTATTTTGATAGTCTTTAGCTTTATTAGCTTCACCTCAACCAGCTACAATTCTGCTTACACATAAATGCACAATGATATAATGTTATATTCACAGGTTTACTGTACTTGGAGTGAGTTTATGTAAAGTATTTTCTTAATGTTTATGTAAATATTTAGCGTCTTAGCATCATATTTTCATAATATCACTCTCACATTGACAATAGGAATTGCACTATGTAAGGATGTGGTTGTTGCAGAACTCTAGCTCCACCAAAACAGCAATTGTGGTTAGTTTGCAGGCTTGTAAGGCTGCTTCCTCATTTCAGTCTGCTTGTTGGCCGCTTGCGTTCAACTTTTCAACTCAGAAACTGCTTTTTTTTTAGACATCAGATTTGTAGCTTCACTCCTCCTCCTCCTCCTCCTCCTCCTCTTCTGCAGAGAATAAAAAGTTATCGCCCAAAGCGAAAGCAAATATCCGGTGCCGGTTGATGTTTGTCAGCTGTCACTGTCCATGAATAAAAAAAAAAGCCCTCTCGACATAATCTAATGCAGCGGTTGGGCTCTCAAATTTGGAGGTCAAAGGGTTCCCACAGGGGTGCTAAATGGGGTTCCCAGGGGGGGATCCCCAGCGAAACGAGGCTCTGTTCATCTTCCTGTTCATTCACCGGACGGTAAAAATTCCCCCGAGCGTTGACAGACGACTAAAACCACTCCAGTCGGGTGTCTGTGGGAAATGAAAGGCTGTTATAGTGTTTGTCACATATGTTAAAGGTTATCGACCCTTTTTGCAATAGCTTCCATTGACAGCATCCTCATGATTCAACTAAGAAACCAACCAGTATGGGAGTTGATAGATCTGCAGAATGACATGTAGTGTGGTCTGCAGAGCTGTAAGAGGTTAGTGTTACTTTCAGGTGTGTGTATTGGGGAAGTGTGAAGGCTTTGCAAGAGATTTAATGTGTCCTTATAGATTTTGACGTGACCTCTTCTTGTGCGATAAAGTCACGGGGGCCGCCGTTTCCTCCCAGCCTCTTCTCACGGTTTCACGCTGCGGGCGGTGAGCTGCTGGAAATAAGGAGGGTGTCTTTTGAATTACTGCAAGTAATTATTGGTGTGTGTTCTGCTGGGGGTGGTCTGTGTGTGTGTGTGTGTGTGTGTGTGTGTACGTGCGTTCAGTCCAGTGCATAAGTAGGCCGACTGACATGCAACCTCTGCCTCTCTCTCTCTTTCTCTTTCTTGTACCGTCTCTCGCCCACGGTGATGAGAAGTCGCAGCAGCAGCGGTGTAAATGTTGGCCGGTGTGCATCCATATTCACCACAGCGCCACAGCAGGGAATGGAAAAGCCTGGCTCAGTCATCTGGAAACACACACACACACACACACACACACACACACACACACACACACACACACACACACTAAGTCACACACAAAGTCACACACAGTAACACAGCCCCTGGGAAAATGTGACTGGGACTGCTAAAGGAGATAAAAATCAAACCGTGGTCTATGGCTGTTTTGTGTCCAGTGGCTAGTTTAAACTCTCACACGCACGCGCACACATGCACACGCGCATGCACGAACGCGCGCATGCACGCACACTCACTCACTCAGAAACACACACAATGAAGTAGCTCAGGCGGTGAGCTCTGAACAGGGAACTGTGGTGCAGAAAAGTGTTTAATGATTAGGTGTTACGTCCTTGAAGGGAAGCTGAGAAAGGCAGGAGCACAGAGGGAAGGTAAAGATGAGGTTCGCATGTGTGTGTGTATATGAAAGACAAGAGTGTATAATGTGTTTTAGGTTAAGCGAGGGTGAGAGAGAGTTTCCAGCAGCCTCTGAACAGACGTTTACAGTGTCTGTATGGACCACAGCTGAATACAGTCATAATCCTCTCACTTCCGAGAGAGAGCCATGAACAAATGTGTGTGTTTGTGTCAGATTTCAGATGCCAATTTTAATGTAAGACTTTATTGATCCCTGGGGGAAATTCACATGTCCGTCATTCCTGAGAGTCAAGCCAGCAGCATTAATCGCTGAAGTCATGGATCAAGCAAAAAAGGCAAAGACTTGCTGCGAACAACTTCTCAAATCTGGGGACACTGTTAATCAGACAAAACAAGACATTTGAGGCCATTCATCTATTTTCTGCCTCTTAACCAGATCTGGGTCGTGGTGTTAGTGGGCTGAAGGCCGGGTTGTACTCCACTGTATGTGAATGAAAAAGAGAGCTAGAAAGAAGCAGCTAACCATCGGAAATCGTCGGACACAAACCTCCTAATCTGCCATTGGAAGGTGTCGCACGTTCCCCGAAGCTCCATCCATCCATCCATACATCCAATCATCCATCCACCCAGTCATCTGACAAGTTCTTTGGATGGAGTATACTGGCAAAAAAAAAAAACACAGAAAAATCAGACCCCATTTTCCCCAGCTACTACCTCCCACTCCTCTTAGGGGATCCTGAGGAATTCCCAGGTCAGATGAGATATACACTCCCTCCAGCATGTTGTGTGTCTGCTCCAGGGTCTCCTCGCTCTCTGAAGTGTCCACAGTACCTCCATTTTATAAATAGTTCATCAAAAGAAGTGAACTGAACAATCAATAATGAAAATAATTGTGTCTTGCAGCCCTTTATGATATAATTACTTAATGTCAAGTTGAAAAAAAAATGGCCAAAGTGAAGTGCAAGAGTGAGTCTGCTGTTTTTTTTTTTGAGGCAGTTGTGGACACGTGTAAGAGCGTATAAATGTGCCAACTGCCCCTTCAAGATGTTCATGTTTTGGGGTGTGTGTGTGTGTGTTCGGGGCCCTTATGAGAGTGTAGTCCTCTGCTGGAGGGGGGAGGGTGGCTTCCCCCAGTCTGAGACAGCACGGGGATATAAGCCATTTGGTCAACATTCCTCCAGGAGCATAACAAATTACTACTGTGGTGTGTGCGTGTGTGTGTGTGTGCGCGTGTGTGTGTGTGTGTGTGTGAGTGTGAATGGGTGTGGAGATTATGTGTGAGTATATGTGTGTGTGTGTGTGTGCGTGTGTGTAGTCCCCATACATGTAATTCTCTAAATTGAGCACTTGTTTTCTTTGCAGTCAGTGATCAGTGAGTTTAAGGTTTTATCTGCTCAGCAAGTCAGCCTTTAGCTTTGCTACTTACTCAGCTGTTCAGTGGGTCAGGCTGCCAGCCTCTTGGCAAGCTGTTAGCCAGCCAGTCAAGTTATTAGCCAGTCAATAGTAGATTAAATGGAATAAAAAATACATTAATACAACCAAATAAACATTAGCTTTACGTACAAATGTGTTTATCTGTGGTAATTCCCGGTCTTGACCCTCCTTCATGTGAACAGCCCTAGAGACATTCAGACATATTTTAGTGTTATTTATCATTTCAAACACTTCCATTTGTCATCGTTTTGTGACATGCTCTGTGTCTTTTGCCAAACGTGGTTGAGATGACGAGGTGGTGAGTTGCCTCCATTGTTGTGTTCGACAGAGCAGCTGCTGCTGAGCTGTCAGCTCGCTTTCATATGTGGGTTTAAGATCTACTGCGAGCTCTCCGGCGATCCGTGCCGTTTCTGTGTCGTTAGATTACATTGGCTCATGACATTTGCCAGGTTGCAGCGAGGTGGTGCCCTTAAAGCAATCATGATTCAATGATAAATGACAGCTGCTAAGTTTTTTTTTTGATGGTTCCCAGAGCTTGTCTTGACTCGAGTGCTTTTCCCACCAGACCCCTGCAGATCAGACCAGACATGTCCGCTATCTAAATGAGCATCAGACTTTACATGTTGTACGAGAGTCTGTCTTAGTGGACTGAAGCAGAAGCTCACTGTTGTGCAGCCTTCATTATCTCCATAGTTTTCATTGTCAGTGATGTAAGAGAGATGAGGGGAGTTGTTATAAGCTGCTGTTTGTTTAAATAAGGCTGCATCTCTCTACGCCTCCGATGATTCAATATATATCTAAATACATACAATACATTAATCATAATCAAGGTTCACATTTGAAATAATCTTGTTATTGATTTTAAGTCACTCATAGATTTAATGCAAAAAAACCCCATCAGTTAGAGATTTCAAACATAAAAACCTTTGCTGAAAGTGGAACAATCAGAGGTGGTTGTGATCTTGTCTTATTAAAATGAGATTTGTTTGATTTTATCTCAGCAGACCAACAGGATCTGGATTTAATGGGTTTAGACAACCGAAAATAAATTCAGTTAAATAGCTAAATAAGACGTGATGCCCTCTGTTGTTGTTCAAGTTTGAAATATGGTGTTGCACAACTTCACCTCAACTAAATTCAAACAGGACTCTCTACATGTGGCTGTGAAGCAAGTTCTGGACGAGTCTCCCAAAGAGTTTTTGTTGTTTTCTATTTGCGGTTGGATTTTTTTTTTCTTCTTCTTCTTGTTCTTCTTCTTCTTCTTCTCCGGTCGGACATCAGGCCGTGTTTCTTGTGGGGAGCATTCCTGCAGAGTGTGTTTCAAAACAGTGCGAGCGGCCGGGAACTCGGT